GCCACGGTGCCATGTAGCTTGGCCTTCAGATAGACAAAACAAGGGAAAAGTACTGGCTTCTGCACATTGATAGAATGATGAGTTTAACCTTAACAAAAGTTGCTTAAAAGTGTTATGAAATCTCACATTCCCCCCTCTGGTCATACATTCACGTGTGACCATCAGGATCGATAAACAGCAACATAACATCATAACTCAATACTTAAACTCATAAACTCGGTACTTCACTCGGTACTTCAAAAAACTCAGAACTCGGAATACTTCAAAAACTCATAAAACATGTTCAGATCTTTCATAAAACTTGTCAACAATCTTCAGTAAAATACCAAACTTCATCAGTCGATGGTGGTTCCAGATATTGCTTTGAAAACAGTCTCTCCCACTTCTCCGTGTTGGTTTCTTCAGGCTGCATTTGTGCCGAGCCATGAATTCTTCTATGACGTGTCTTTCAATCACACGTTTCAGCTTTAGTGTCAGATTCAGCAATTCAATTCAGTCCAAATTATGTCCAAATTGTGTAATCCAATTGTTCCAAATGATGTCCATGCAAAAGAGGACGATGGTATTGTCCATGTCTCAGCAGCTCACAGCCTGAGTGGAATCAGGGGCTGTGCAGATTGTCCATGTGCTGGTCCAGATGCATTCTCTTGAGGTTTCTCAGTTTTGGCTTGAAAAAAAAACACATTTTTGTGTAAAAAAAAAAGTCTTCTGTTCTCTAGATGTTACAGACAATGCCCGCATCCTTCCACCACCTGAAGAAGATGACATAGTCTGGGATCGTGTCTTACATTCCGACAGAAGACATGTTTTATTGTCGATGGTAGAGACAGCACAAACAACACACACACAGAATACAAGTGTATTATACAGAGCAGAGGCATGGAGACCTCCAATCAGCAGCTGCCACGGTGTGCTTGTAGCTTGGCCTTCAGATAGACACAACAAGGGAAAAGTACAGGCTTCTGCACATTGATAGAATGATGAGTTTAACCTTAACAAAAGTTGCTTAAAAGTGTTATGAAATCTCACAGGTCCTTTATTTGTCCCACAGTGAAGGATAATAAAAAACTCAAAGACTGCACAGCAAACCGGGCGGTTCCGGTCATAAAATAAATAAATGGTATGGTCAGTTTGATGCCATCCTGGAACACTGGTCAGCACACACTGCAGACCCAGCAACAAAAGACTCAGTCCCACAGTCCCAGCAGACACAGTCCACAAGTGAAGCTGTAGAGGAGAGCACTGGAGAGTATATATTAACGGACAGAGTCACGACTATCTCCGTCGTTCAAACTAATGGGCCAAAAAATGTGCTCTACTGGAGCTATCCAAAATGGCCGCGAGTGGTCCCGCCCACAAGCAAATTGTGAAAAAACGCATCTGCGCATGCGTCAGCCGGCACAGCTCCATTCATTTGAACGAGAGACTTCAAAAATTCACAGCAAGTAAACTAGAGTGGTCCAAAAAATTCACCCCCCTCAGCATTGACACACATGTGGAACGGAGCTTTGGGCCAAGAGCCAACTTTCGGACCATTCTGTGAAGACTTTTTCGAGAGGTCTGCCAATGCTATATGTTAGTAATTCTTATTCTGGGTCCACCCCCATCGGCCCGGGGTGGTATTGCAAGCATGTCAGCGCACGTCATTTTGGCCACTTTTGAGCCGGGACCCGCCCCCACTGGTCCTGACTCAAAAAGGTCATGCGCTGACACACTTGCAATACCACCCCGGGCCAGTGGGGGTGATCCCAGAAAGAGAATTATCAAAAATTTTTGAATGGCGTCTTCTTACCTCTCAAAAACGTCTTTACAGGATGGTCCAAAAGTGAGCTCTTGGCCCAACGCTACGTTCCAGATGTGTGTCAATGCTGAGGGAGAATATTTTTTTGACGACTCTAGTTTACTTGCTGTGAATTTTTGAAGTCAATCGTTCAGAGGCTAACTCTGTGGACTTTTGAAGGCGCTCGTTAAATGAATGGGGCTCGTACTGGCTGACGCATGCGCAAATTAATAACAAAAAAAATTTCCTGCCCCGCAGCCATTTTGAAACTGCCCACAGAAGGCAAAAGTGGCAGAGACAGGCGTGACTACATCCAATAATATTCACAGTGTATGGTCCCGGTGAGCTTTTGTCTACAGGTACAGTATTAACAGCATAACTATGTTTTGATTTCTCTGCTCGGTAGTGCTGCTAAGGAGGCTATTGTTAGCCTGTTGTTGGACCACACAGGTCTCGTTTATGGAGCCCCTCCTGCAGCACCCCTCGTCCTTCTTCTGGGGCATCCAAACGCATCAGTGAATATAAAGTTACAGGTCATTTAGCACAGTGTGAGCTGATACTTTTGTTATACACTTACTTTGACAAACACCTAACTCCACCTTTTAAATATTGTTGTGAACGCTTACAAACACTAAAAAAGCTAGACATAAATACAACGAAACTTATGTGTTCCAGCAAGAATGGCATCAATCTGATTATTTTTTCTATTTTATTTTTCTACAGGAAAAGGAAAAGGGGAAATTGATTTAAATGCCCTTAAGGAGATGGATGAGGAAAACAGGAGGGAGTCCAGACAGCGGCGTGAGTTCCTCTTCCAGCAACCTTCAAAACACGAGGATCACACATGAGGGAGCACATGTTTCAGAGGCAGGAAGTTGAAGAATCAAGAAGGCAAATCTGGCCTTGTTTTGGGCCTCTTCAAAACTTGGTCCCAGCCTCAACCCCCTCCCCTGGACTTATTTCTAAGATTTCGGCACTTTATACACCTCTGCACATTCTGCTTTCCCTGACTGTATAAAGTTTGCCCATTTTTGCTGTGTTTCAAAAATACAACAATTTGAATGCCAGCATTTGTTTTTTGTGTGTTTGTTCATAAAAAAGAAATCATAAAAGATGTATAATATGCACATTCAAGGCAATCATTAACACACATCTGTACATCATCTGTGTTCAGTCATTTGTATTCTTGGTGCTCAGTATAGTTTACATTGTTTTAACAGCACAAAACAGTACAACTTGTTGAAGTGGTGCGTATGAGCAGCTGCTACACCAAACAACTTAGAGATTCTCCTGTAGTCTGCATTTGTTGCCAGCTTCCATTCTGCTATTGCAACCCTCTCCTAGAGGGGCACACAGAGACAAAAATGTGTGTCCTGCTTCTCCATCGCAGGTTACACATGTCCACATAAGCTAAATATATTGATTTGTGACCCACCTGAGTGACGTCATGGTCGTAATTGTCGCACAACGATTCCGCGGAATTCGAAACTCATGACGTCGCAGAGGGGTCTCTGCAGTGGAGACAGGGCCACTGAGAGGCCAAGCGAGAGGACGGTTCCTGCAGATGTCCCACCCCCCTCCTTTCATCAGGAACTCCTGTGGTGTAAACGCGACTAATAAAAGGTGTATTCTGCTTCTGTCCTGAAATAGAATAGAATAGAATGTGCTGCAGGGTCCTCCCCTGTATTCACATCTATGATGATATTTGCCCATTTCCTGTCTTTGTTCCCAGAATCCTCTCTGTCTTTCTGTCAGTGCATTGTTTTTAATGACAGACATTTATGGATATTCCGATTTGAGTCTTAGAGCAAACAGAGGATGTTACTGTAACGCAGTGAATAAGAAAAAAGTATGAGTCAACTCTAACTCATAATAATCTACAACAGGAAGCACTCTGTGGATTTATGATCCTGAACATTAGGAAACAGTGGTTTACACTTCATACTTTATACATACAACTATATACTCTATGTACAGTATTTATAATTGATCATGCTAAAGTTATAGATGTTATACTTGTTTCTTTATTATGCTAAAGTTATAGATGTTTTACTTGCTTAGTTTATTACACTAACTAGAGTTAGCACTAGAGTTATTGAGTAACATGCAACAATGACATAGAAACCTCCACTGAGTCTGAATACAGGTTCTCTGATCTGTTTCCACTTCATTTCTGACTTCATTCTCGCACACTTCTTGCAGCTCCAACGGAATCCAAAGGCATCGAAACAGCAGCTCTACTCCGAGCTCCTCACCCTAACTCTAAAGCCTCGATCGATTGTATCCACAACAACGGCTCAAATGCATTAAAACTGTGCAACAAAACATCGTTACACTATAGTAAATAGATGAATGAGACAGAATCACTGCATTCTCTTCTCTGATTGGACCATTGAACCGAGGGACCAGGGGACAGTGGGACAAACACAGAGGCAGAAACACAGAGAGACAAACACAGAGGCAGAAACAGAGACACAGAGAGTCTCAAAGGCCGAGAGGAGTAGGGTTTCAACGCTGTCTAATGTACAGGTGAACAGCAGATCCTTGTTACTGATCCCAAAAGTTTGTGAATAATTTAAAATAAAAGTTTAAAACAAAACTCTATCTTTTTGAAAACACAAAAATCCTCCTGATGAAAAAATCTGTAGGGTCTTGTTGTGTACGTGGGTGTGTGTCTTTGTGTTAGAGTGTGAGTGTGTGTGTTGTTCAGTAAAACGCTCAGTTTTTTTTTTTCCAGACAGTCTCTGGAGCAGACAGACCAGACTGACGAGGCACGGGGGGTGGGGCTTCTTCAGAAAAGACCAATAGAAAGAGGAGTTCCACAGGTGAGAGTCGCGCGCACGTTGTCGTCCACACGGACGCGCACGCACGCGCACGGCGAAGGCACAGCGAGGAAGCTCCTGGGACTGGGACTCCGCAAACTGCACACGGGAACCGGAGAAGCGAGGACCATTACAGCAGAGGACTCGGACCAGACCCCGGACCCGGACCAGGACCTGTTGTTTGGAGAGTCCCTGCACACAGAGAGCGACACGTCACGCGGATCCGTCACTTTTGTTGACTTTCCTGTTGTTTGTAAAGCAGCAAACATGAACTGTGCTCCCGTGTGATCCGTGACCCAGAATGGAACTTTACTTTGTTAGAACCGTGTGACAAAAAGGGTAGTTTGTTTGTGGAGGATCGTTTCTGTGTGAGTTGGACTTTTGGAACAGTTTTACAGATGATGATCAGCTCCGAGGGCCTGAGGCCGTCTTCCAACGGCCGCAAGCCGCTGGGGAAGCTGGCGTCGCGGCTGGAGGAGGTGAAGAACCCGTGGAGACAGGGATCCACGCTGGAGCTGAGCCATAACGAGGCTGCGCGTCTGGCCACGGACGCGCTGCTGGAGCACGGGGAGCAGGAGTATCTGCGGGTGCTCAGCGAGGAGCGGGAGGTGACGTTCCTGTCACCGCTGGACATCCGCTACATCACCAAACATGCGGCCAAAGCCTGTTCGGACTCAAACGGCGTCGGTCCTAACGACCGGGACTTTGGAGATGGAGACGCTGTGTCCGAGCTCACCTCCGGGACCTACTTCCCCATGATGTCCGATGATGAGCCGCCGATGCTGGAGCTGGGCTGGCCCGAGCCGCCGTCGCGTTACGGACCGTCAGAGACGCAAATCTACTTCCAGAGGGACAAGTCTCACAATGTGAAGGACCTGATCCGGTCCCTCATTAACAAAGCGAAGAAGGTAGGACATCTGTCCAACAGACACAACACACGCATGCGCCGTCTGTCCCCCTGATACAGCTTAGAGAAGTTTATTTGACATGGACAGAACAGTTACATTGGACCAGATGCCCTGCCTTCAGTGTTATAGACAGACCAGGGTAGGTTACCTCCAGTGCAGGAACTATAAATAACACAAGAGGCTTAACCTGCAGACAATAATGCTCTGAGCGCCGTAAGACAAAGAACTTTTTAAGTTACTATTATTCTACAGTATCATGAAATCTATAGAGGGATCCTACGGTCACGTGACTAGCAGCCACGGCAGCCATACTGGAGGACAACCGCGGCGAGTAACAGCCCTGCTAGCTATCTATAACTGGACGTTCAAAACTAGAACTCTCTCGAACTACATGAAAACTGAACAGAGAATTTGAAACTTCAGCAGTTAGTGACCCAAATATATACTCAACCTAAAGTCATGAATCAGATCCTCTGAAAATGCGTCCTAAAATGTATTATTAATGTTTATCGTTACATCCAGGTTTACCGCGGTCGCATATTATTGTCGCATTAAAACAGTGTTTTTTCATAAAAACGTGAACAGAAAATTCTAAAAACCTCTGTGCACGTGTATTAAGAATGTATATGTATAATGTATTCTCCGATTAACATTTAATGTGTTTATTGTTACACCATGGATCTATGTGTGGCTACACTGCAGTGGAAATAATGAGATTACATTCAAATCAATGGAGCTTTCTGCGTCTACTGTGAGGAGCCGTATATTTTATTAATAAATACTAGTACGGGGCACCCTGGAGCACGGCTCAGTCGTTCACATGTCTGCTGGCCTTCGGTAAGTCAGATACCCTGTGAACCGGGTGAGGTCCTGTGTGAGACCAAATATATAACAGCTATGCTACAAGCTAAGCTACAGTCTATGGAGCAACCCCACGTTGCAGTCAGACAGATATGTTTTATCCTTAAACTTCTGTTTGTTTCGGAATAACACTAAATCCGCCATCAAATTGATTTCACTTAGCAGAAATGAAATGATCCGAGCATATTCGGGCGCTCTGGGGGCTATTAGTTTTTTGTTGTTGCTTATGGTTGTGCCATTTCTCTCTCGTTTCTTTGAGATTTCTTCTGTTTTTGAGCCGTGTGAAGTAAGGACGGCTGGCAGTCGGTAACACAACTTATTTTCCCTGTCTCTCCTTTTGCTGCAGCCAAAAACGGCAAACATTTAGAACATGTGTATGCGGTCCCGGGTGCACGCCACTATCATACAGCGTTTGCTTGTCCTCCAGTATGGCGGATGCCCCGCGAGTTCGAGGCATCGTGACGTCACGTGAGATATCTCTATACGTCACATGTTTCTGCTTCCTGTTGTAGGTTGCCATGTCCTGAATACCTTTGTGCTAAAGATAGTGTTGTTTGACTGTTCATGTCAAAGTATGGCCCTTTATTTCAGAACATGATCTGCCACTTTACTGTTGCTTTAAAGACAGACTCTCTGACCCCATGGTTCATCAGCACCAGTCTGACCCCACATGGTCCTTCAGCACCACACTCTTGAATGTTTGCTTACAAACAAATCTGTGGTGCTCTATGTCTGACCTGCTCTGACTGAGGGTTACTGATCTGTCTGAGTCTCTGTCTGAGTCTCTGGTCATAGCTCAGTTCTACATCATTAGATAAAAAGTGTGTGCTTTTGGCAGAACGTCCAGCACACACTGCATGAGTCACTCTTCACAGATACCTCTCAATTATTAATAAATCCTGATCCAGACTCAGAAACACAGAAACTGAAACAGTAGGACTGGTGGATGCTGTTGAATAAGTGTCATTGTGCAGAGTCAGCACAACTCTCAGGTGAGACACCATGTGACCTATAGTGCTATACAGACTCAACTCTCTGCTAGCACCTGCGACATGTGTGTGTATATGTGTCCTGGACATTCAACCACATTATGGACCAATGTCTCGATCTTTGACTGTAAAAGTCTCAAATCAATGTATTTTTTTATCATTGCATTTCTTGTGTTTGAACAGTTTGATTCTCTGATCTGTGTTGGTGAAATGACAGCTTTGTAAAGTCCTCAAAGATAACTAGGGCAATACACCAATGCATTGAATTGAATTGAAATGTGTGTGTGTGTATAAACTCACAGATCCCCTCCCACACCCCTGGGCCTCATTAGCATTCATCTCTCTCTTGTGCACACATGTCCAGGACTTGTGAGCTGGGCATGTGAAGACGTGTGTGTGAGACCTGTGCATGTGTGTGTGTGTGTGTGCATACTTGCAGTTTGTCCAAGACTCATGCGTCTTACACATTCACACCTGAGACGTCCTACTCTGTGCTGTTCTAGAATCTGTCCAATAAACGTCAGAGCAAATATTGATACATTCAGCGTCATCGTGGATCTAACGCTTTTCCACGGTTTCGATGTTGTTGTTTCATATCAGTCCCAGCTCCAGATCTGACAATTCCATTCAATGTATTTGTGTTTTGCCCTAAATCACAAAAGTATAACTATTTTTTCAAGGACTGTCAACAATGACAAATTACTGAGAAAGTCAATGTTCATTTCACCAGACTGAAAAAGAAGAACACACAAAATATACATAGACATCACACATGTAAGATTCTTTGCACACTTCTATTCAATTAATACTAATTTTTAGGGGCCTTGCTTTTAAATTGCAATAAACTGGTTAAAAATAAAATACCTTCCTGTGTTTAATATTAAAGCAGGAGAAACGCTCTGAGGAGGAGCGCAGAATAATAATCGAATATAAATATACACATAAATAATCAACTAACACATGACTAACCACTTTAAAGCTGTCTTTATGGAAGTGGGACTTTGCCATCTGCAAATTTCTTTTATTAAAGACAAAAGAAACACCTGTATAATCTGCTTATACAATATGTATATTTATCAGACTATTGTATGAAAAAACTTTGGCCGATTCTATCATTTCATATATGTCTAATATATACAGTAAATGTAAATAAATATACATTATTCCCAGTCTTAGATTGTATTCATAATGTTTAATATACTATCTTATCTCAATACATAAAACTGGTGTTGGCACTATGGTTAGCTTACTATAGCTACTGTCTCCATGAAAACCTTTGTTTCCTCTGTGTAGCTTTAATATTTAATCCCTGGGGGGTTGTATCTCCATAAAGATAAAAAGAATGATTTTTCTTGATCAAACACAATCTCAATTGACTGAATAGCCTAGCATTAGCATTAGCTTTGCTTTACAGGACAAACTTGAGTTAAATCACGGCACGCAACAAGGTTACAAACACACGTCTGTGGCAGATCTTGTATCATCCCTCAACAGTAAAGTATAATGCAGGTACTTACCATAGACACATGTTACATGTTAGCTCCGGGTCCAAGGCAGTGGTTTTTATGTCTGTCAGCCCATTTAAAAATATAACTCAATAAACCTTACCCACGGACGTGCTTGTTGCCCATGGTTTGATGACATAACTATACCCAGAAGCACTGCTAGCGGTCAGCTATTTCAGGAGAGGTATCTCGCAATACTTATCTCGAGATACCTTAAAAAAATATGTTTAACTCTACTATGCCCCTTCAGGGGCTCCGTAACAAACACATTAGGCCGTTGGTCCATAAGGGGCAGAGACCAATGTCAATGTGTCTAATACGATTTTTGGTTCATAGAACAGAATAAATATTTAATAAACCATAGTACAATAGATGATAGATACAATAGTCTTCATTGAGTATCAAGTTCAGATTTTTTTTAAAAGCAACAGACAGAGGTTTGGCTGGGTCCAAGCTGGGAAATGTGAATCAGGCCGGATCTTGGCCACACTTTCCCCAGGTCTGCTGTAAACAATGTTTACAAATAATGTTTGTTTTTAAAGCTGACCCATATGTCTAACATACAGGTTATCGCCGTGGTGATGGACGTCTTTACGGATGTAGATCTGATGTGTGACCTCATGGAGGCGTCCAACAAACGCAAAGTCCCCGTCTACATCCTGTTGGACGAGAAGAACCTGAGCTCCTTCACCGACATGTGCTCCGCGCTGGACATCCAGAACTCTCACCTCACTGTGAGTCCACAAACACCGGAGCGACAGACTGCAGCGAGGCTGCAGAGTCCTGGAACTGAGATCTATCAGAGACGGGTCATAGATACATGTAGATATACAGTACACTTTATTGATCTCTATTGGTCTTTAGGTCACAGCAGCAGAGGTGTTGTAGACACTTGATTGGGGCCATCCTCTCTGCTCTGGTCTGAATCAGTGTAAAACCATGAACACTGCTCTGCAGAAACATTTAGAAGTAGAAAAAAGCAAGATAATAGGAAAACACAGAAATACAACTGTTTCAGACCAACTCAAGACTCGCTGATGCTTTTAGTGCATTCAAAAGTAAACTGAGCTGAAATCAATATGCATCACACTGTGAGTGCAACAGCGTCACCTACAGACACTTCAGAGTTCTCTTGATTTTCTGCTCTCCTGGTCTCGGGTTGTGACCAGGTGTGTTGGCAGTTGTGTGTTGACATAGTTGTGTGTTTTGTGTTGCAGCACATGAGGATCCGTCACGTCTGTGGAGACACATATTGCACCAAAAGTGGAAAAAAGTTCACTGGTCAAGTCCTGGAGAAGTTCATGATCATCGACTGTGAGGAGGTCATCGCTGGCTCCTACAGGTATCTACACTGTCAGACTGTACAACGAGGACTGTACACTGAGGATCTACACTGTCAGTCTGTTCATTCAATTCATTCAAACTTTTATAATGTAAAATACCCTTCTTATAGATTTTATATGTGGAGAAACTGGTGCCTTCTGTCTCAGGGTCAAAAGCAAATGTAATGAAATACTTCTGGTGACATGGTCAATAGTGACGTCATAGTGTTGTCATCGTGGAACAATGACATCATACTGTTACAAGACTGAGACAGGTTTTTCAGAGAGAATTGGTGGAGCTACATGTTTGAACCATAGTTCCTCACTTGTTAGTTCTTCAGGACTGAGGCTGTAGATCCAGGACTGAGGCTTTGGACACAGGACTGAGGCTTTGGACACAGGACTGAGGCTTTGGACACAAGACTGAGGCTTTGGACACAAGACTGAGGCTGTAGACCCAAGACTGAGGCTGTAGACCCAAGACTGAGGCTGTAGACCCAAGACTGAGGCTGTAGACCCAAGACTGAGGCTGTAGACCCAAGACTGAGGCTGTAGACCGGGGACTGAGGCTGTAGACCGGGGACTGAGGCTGTAGACCGGGGACTGAGGCTGTAGACCGGGGACTGAGGCTGTAGACCGGGGACTGAGGCTGTAGACCGGGGACTGAGGCTGTAGACCGGGGACTGAGGCTGTAGACCGGGGACTGAGGCTGTAGACCGGGGACTGAGGCTGTAGACCCAGGACTGAGGCTGTAGACCCAGGACTGAGGCTGTAGACCCAGAACTGAGGCTGTAGACCCAGGACTGAGGCTGTAGACCCAGGACTGAGGCTGTAGACCCAGGACTGAGGCTGTAGACCCAGGACTGAGGCTGTAGACCCAGGACTGAGGCTGTAGACCCAGGACTGAGGCTGTAGACCCAGGACTGAGGCTGTAGACCCAGGACTGAGGCTGTAGACCCAGGACTGAGACTGTAGACCCAGGACTGATGACACTTGTGTTTTTTGCACATTCACTGAACAAATACAACATAATGCAAGACCTATCTTAAGCAAAAATTATGACAGTGTTCTCTCAGGCCCTGTTTACACAAAGACACAGCCATTCACACAAAAAACCTGCTCCAGATTTTAAGTGCACAGCGTCTACACGGCGACTGAAATCAATGTAGTTCTAGCGACCAGCCGGTAGGGGCAGTGAAGCTTTACAAAACGACACCTGCGAGCCAAACCCCCACTTCCTCAACTACATCCTCCTCATGCCACTGCTAATAATAATAATAATACATTGTACTTTTATATAGCATTTTTTGGACACTCAAAGAAGCTTTACAGAAGAAAAATAATCAGTGAAGTGTAGGCAGGTGGGTTTTGAGAAGGGATTTTCTGTAGTGATGTGGGGTGGGAATGAGTTCCAGAGAGTGGGGGCAGCTGCAGCAAAGGCTCTTGCCCCAAGGATCGGCACTTTGTTCTGATGGGAGTGACGAGGTTGGAGTAGATCTGAGGCGGCGGGAGGACAGCAAAACAACCACGGCCCTGTTTTGATGGAGAAGGTGCAGAGACGCGAAATTGAAACTGAAACTTGAGCTTTGCGTGGTTCCGTTTAGATGAACGAAGGAGTTCAATTCTCCTCCATGTAGTGCTCAGACCCGCCGCCATTGTTGTTTACGTTACGTACAGGAGAGAAGTGGGGGGGGGGTCATTGCAACCAGAGAATTCACTACTTTCTCTCCACACAGCTGTGAACAACCCTGTGCTGAGCAGCATACGTACTTGTCTTTATGTGAAGCAACCCACCAAACCACAACAATGAACCAACATGATGAGGACAGGAGCACAGGGTCTGAATACACACTGGGCTTAAATATACACAGACACAGGATCTAAATACACACAGAGAGACACTGGGTCTGAATACACAGGAGCACAGGATCTAAATACACACAGAGAGACACTGGGTCTGAATACACAGGAGCACAGGTTCTGAATACACACAGAGAAACAGGTGTAACACATCAGAGTGAGGAGAACAATCAACAGACAAGACTCTCAACCAACTATCTCTGCACAGACTGTCACTTGTGAAGCAGATAGTGTCACACAAACCTGTTACCCCCGGATCCTGGCAGAGAGCAGACATACTCTCACACACACATTGACACACACACATTGACAGTGACACACACACATTGACACACACATACACAGTTACTCGGACAACAGGCTGCAGAGCGAAGAGGGACTGCAAAACAAGTCTTTATCAGAAGTTCAGAAATGTCATTGTTTGCCATAGTGTATTATCAAGGCAATAGACCAGAGAGAGACTCGAGAGTTCCGAGAGAGTGAGACCAGAGAGTGAGGGAGAGAGACCAGAGAGTGAGGGAGAGAGACCAGAGAGTGAGGGAGAGAGACCAGAGAGTGAGGGAGAGAGACCAGAGAGTGAGGGAGAGAGACCAGAGAGTGAGGGAGAGAGACCAGAGAGTGAGTGAGGGAGAGAGACCAGAGAGTGAGTGAGGGAGAGAGACCAGAGAGTGAGTGAGGGAGAGAGACCAGAGAGTGAGTGAGGGAGAGAGACCAGAGAGTGAGTGAGGGAGAGAGACCAGAGAGTGAGTGAGGGAGAGAGACCAGAGAGTGAGTGAGGGAGAGAGACCAGAGAGTGAGTGAGGGAGAGAGACCAGAGAGTGAGTGAGAGAGAGAGACCAGAGAGTGAGTGAGAGAGAGAGACCAGAGAGTGAGTGAGAGAGAGAGACCAGAGAGTGAGTGAGAGAGAGAGACCAGAGAGTGAGTGAGGGAGAGAGACCAGAGAGTGAGTGAGGGAGAGAGACCAGAGTGAGCGAGAGAACAGGGAGAGAGACCAGAGTGCAGAGAGAGAGAGAGACACTTACTCTTCGGGTTCTGTTTATTCTTGCATCTCGTCTTTCTGGGACACAGTGACAGTGACACATGTGGTTATTGCACATTCTGACGTGATCCAGATTATTGCACAGATGTGAGGTCCGGTCTCTTTGTTCGTTGGTATTAAGTGCCTTTCTTCTGTACAATAACAGACTCACAGACGGTTCATGTCAAGACCAAAGTACACACAGTTTGTGCGAACGCAGAGTCTGAAAATGCAAATATGCAGAGAAGGGAGGGACACGTTTCAGATCAGAAATGAAACCAGTCGAACCACGAGCCATTTTACTCCTGAGGCTCTGTGTGTGTGTCACTTCTTATGGAGAAACACATCCCAGCAGACTCCGAGCGGGAGCAGATGTGACAGTGGGAGAATGCACTCGTCAGGAACTTTGCACAATACTGACAAAATGTTGAAGAAGCCAAAAGGAAATCACACATGGAGGAAGTTTGTCAAGTTTAGATTAGACCCAGACATTAAGACAGAAGCAGCTTGAGGATGTTCCAATAGGTTGAGTTTATGTTGGAGGCAAGCACCAACACGGCTTTGTGGGACAGAGGCAGGTTTTGAAAGAGAACATGTCAAAAAAAATTCACAGAGAAGATTCACATAACTGTTGCATGATGTTGTCCCGTAGAAAATATTTTCAGACAAGAATAATACATGTGTTTTAATGAATATTGTCACCTCTTTCTGGCACCGAAAATAATGAGACCAGAGTTTTGTGTCCTGACCAAGAAGAACTTTGTGACAGTTTTTGTTTTGTGTGGATTTGTCCAGAAATGATGGATTCAAAATGTTCCAAATGCCTGTGAAATGCTGTTTAAACTCTTGGCTTTTTGGGACGGTGATGTCACAAGACCCTACTGAGTATCTGTGGATCAGACTTGACCCATCGTCTGCCCTATTGTAGTTCCGGATTCTGTCTCTGATGTTTGAGCATTAGTCAAATCTTCTTTGGAATTAACTTTGCTCACGACCGACACAATGACAGTGATGACTGTCGTTACCTGGAACTCGGCACAAAACATTCTGCTGTTATGTAAGTTTCAGCACAGTTTCTTAAGAACCATGTTGTGACTTCTCTATAAAGACCATTAAAGTTATGTATCTACTGTGTTTCAAGGCCGCCTGGTTTTTGCCTTTTACATATTTAATGCAAATCCGATTAAACTAAAACGTGTGTGTGTGTGTGTGTGTGAGAATGAACGTATCAAAAGTTTAAAAATAGTTACAATATTGAGGAAAATAACAATAGTCCAATTAGGATTCAGAATGTTGTATCAAATAGTATACCGTTTATAGTTAGCCAATCAGTAGCAGGAATACTGATGCAGGAAATGGGAATCTCGGAAAGTCATCTGCAGCAGTTTAACTTTAGTAAACATTGGTCTCATCCAGGTTTCTCACTTTTTAGAGTATTTGCTCTGATGCAGGAGGCTCTAGGGACAGCGACGATCCAGGACACTGTACAACCGATTTTTATACAGTACAAAATGATAGAATAACAGTGAATCAAACCCTTTTCTAAACAGCGGCCGAGTGAAGCAAACATGGACAGATCCCAAACCTCTCATTCACTCTTCAAGACGATTTCCAACAAACATTGTGTCAAACTTGTCAATAATGAATTAAAAATAGAAGTGTTTGTTCTCTGCTGTTGTGTGACTGTTGCAGTGAGAGAGGACCGAGGAATTTAACGACTCGTGTCACAGCTGATAATAACTGTGATGATATCTTTAATCCCTCATCAGGCCGGTTTCAAACTAAACATCTAAAATCACATTCATGTTCATTATTTAAAATCTGCAACGACAAAAGCTTCTCAAGGACTTTATTAACATTTATGGTCATTGGTTCCTGCCCCTTATGGACCAATGGCTGTGTGTTTTTGTCATTGCATTTTCTGTGTTTGATTCTCTGATCTGTGTTGGCGAATCGACAGCTTTGTGAAGTCCTGTGAAATAACTACTGTTGTGATTTAGAGGAAGCCAAAAACTTTTTTTTTTAATCGAGGATTTCTAATCAAAAGCTACACGATGAAAGACTGGACTGGGTCAAACTATTGCATCTTTGTGTTTTTATCTCGTTTAAATCTCGTTGTTTGGCACAATTTAGCCAAAAATAAATTCAAATGAGTTCACACAGCTCTAAAATTCTGTACTTGGTGATGACGGAAATGGTTCTAATATTTTCCATAGACTTATAGTTAACAGTGACTAGTTACCTGGACTTTTTATTGTTGTGAGTAAATTAAACCAAGTGAAAAATGTTGATGTAAATGTTGATTCTTGTTTACCTCGATACCACTAAATCTGCATCTGAACACATTAACATTCATCTCAAATCAAACACTTAATAAACAAAACTTGGAGAGGCTTCGACATACTTTCTGGCCTAACACCCGTTTCACAGTCTATAAACTGGATCCGGTCTGCTGTAGACTTTAGACTTCTCCTGCTGAGTCATCAGGACTAAAAAGACTGAGTTTTTCTGCTCCTTGTTGTCAATAAGAATGTTCCAACTGGAAAAGCACTCATAGAGCACAAAACTCTGCCTAGAGGCATCGTTCCATTGCTTGAAAGAACTCTGCATCCAGTCAAAACCCTGGACCATATTTAGGAAAGTTGCTATAGTTACATGCATCCAGGAGGTACAGGGATCACCAATGTTTGTCTGTCCGTCTGTGACATAACTCTAAACAATTATGGGAGGATTTACAAGATAAGATATTCCTTTATTCGTCTCACAGTGGAGAAATGTCTGTCATCGTTGCACACATTACAGCAGAGAAAGAAGGAAATAAGAGCACTCAGATTGCACACATCAAAGAGAGTCTGTTATATAAGATAATAGACAATATCATTAAAATAAGATAATAAGGTGGTAAGATAGAAGAAAATAAAATAAACTCTGGAGCTATAATTGGTTCTTGAGTATTTACAGATGTGTATATTCTTTAGCAGCGGAGAATATGAGCAGAATAAACATCAGTAATAATAATAATAACAGGTAAAGTGACAGGTGAATGGCAGAAGTTTCAGACGGATGGATAACGCAGGAATAATCATATTTGGTCACATTTTTCAAAATCGTTGCATTTTGTCGGTTAACTACGTAGTGTTTTTACAGCGATTGCAGTTGGGTTTGGGAGGACAGGCATAAGGAAACATTTACTGAACAAGCAAAAGATACAATCAACAAATAAAGCCAACAGTGTCTGTGCAGAATTTATTTCCTCAATTGTAAAATAAGAGTTAATGAATGCTTCAATCAAGTGTTTTTTATCTCAATCTGAAACATTTTGACTGTTTAAACGAGATATATCAATGGGACAAAGACATTTACAGTATTTCCTCAAAAGTGAGTCACAGGCTCGACAATTTTCCAGTGAAAGCAAAAAGGAGCATCATGTACCAGCAGCTTATAATTTGGAATTTACAGCCTGATTTATTATTTCAAGAACTGTTACTTTCTTTTCTCATTCCAAGGGACACACTTTTTAAAATAAGATCTTTTATTTGTACTGTTGGAAAATCTTGTTTTAACGCAGTCAGAATGTGCTCAGATTAAGAAACTTTTGACCAAATTTGAGCAGTTTTGCCTAAACACGTCCTGCTTCTTCTGGTGCTGTAGCTTTAAATCAGCTTTGAATCTTTCCACTCAGCATTTACATATTACTGGTTATAGATTGTACATATTTATTGTTTGTGTGTGACTAAAGTGCGTTCCGTTGCTGTTGTAATAGTTTCCCAGTGTGTGTCGTGTGTGTGTTTTTAGCCTGGGTTAGGGTTCGGCATGGTGCTGTGAAAATAGATTAGCCTCTCGCCTCGTGCTGCGTTAAAGTTGTGGTGTGTAGTCACTGAGTCCAGCTGCTTTCATTCATTCATTGGTTTTGGTTTGAGGAGATAAGGTTTGGGTTCAAGGGTCAGACTAAAAGTGGGTCATGGTTTTATCAGGAGGATCACATGCTTCCTCCTGAGTCAGAAAGTAGTAAATATATTTCTTCAGCATCCCGTCAGCATGCAGCCGAGGTGGATCTAAAAGGAAATGATACAACTGAGCAGTGTTAAAGATCGACATTTTTTATATTGAGGAAAAGGATCCGAATATTTTCAAATCCAATAAATGTCTTTATATCCCGAGTCTGACTTGATTCTCAAGTGTAGCTGTGTTCTGTCAACTCAATTTGAGGCACTATTCAGTTCAGTTCAGTTCAATGTGTTTATACAACCCTAAATCACAACATTAGTTATCTCTGAGGACTTTACAAAGCTGTCGATTCACCAACACAGATCAGAGAATCAAACAGTTCAAACACAGGAAATGTAACGATAACAAACACATAGAGACATTGGTCCATAAGGAGCAGAGACCACTGTCCATAAATGTTCATAATTCCTACAAATTGTTAGGAATTATGACATCATGAATTATGTGATGTTGTGTAGAACTGTGGTTCTAGTTCATTGTTGGAGCAATAAGTGTTCCTCATTCTTTGGAGGAGGCTTTTCTCAAAATCAAAACGATGGCGCCCAACAATTCCCCACAAATTAAATATTTGATCCTGAACTCAGTTCCATTTAAAAGAGACCAGAGAAACTTTGACCCTAAGAGAAATGACTAGGGCACAGGAGCTCAAACACATATTCATTAAATACTGTATATTCATTCAATGTAAATGATGCATTCTAGTTCAAGTTGCCCATTTTAAACAGAATAATTAAAGACTAATTACAGAGCAATCAATTCATAATATTCTTTGACAGTTTATCTGGTAACAGCACAGTTCAAAAGTGCATGTATACAGACAGTATGTACTCAGTGCAGCTGCAGCAGCTGCTGTAGAAGTCAGAGCTGTGTAGAGCTGTGTGCAGAAGGGCAGGGTCAGGTCTGTTGCTGCTGATGGAATGAAGGCGAGGTCCTGGAGCTTTGCCAACTGGTTCAGAGAAATCGTGGTGTTTAAATGTTTCTCTGCTTCTTCTGCACATGGACCAATAACAGACTTGCTCCAAAAGCAGCTGGAATGTTCTTATTCGTTTACAATATGTTACAGAATCTGAATCTGTTCAGGTTTGTGCATTATGTAGAGAGTTTGACTGATAAGGAGCATCAGGGACAAAGCTGCTCCGCCAGTCTGTAGAGTTTCACTGCTGCGAGTCTCGTCCTGAAACACACTTCAATGATATATGTTTTAGATCGTTTACAGCAGGAGTCAGAGAGAGAGAGAGGATCTGTCAGAGTGAGGGAGAGAGAGCAGAGGAATGAGCCTCAGGGCTGAGACGTTACATAGATATCATAATTAGTCTGTTAGTTATTAGGGTTAGAAAGTGTGGATTCAGTAAAATGTGTAACACACAACTTTCTTCTATTGATTTCAAATGAAGAAAAAAATCACATCACCAGAAACAAAGCAAAGAGTCAGACTTTTAATCAGAGACGGTGTCATCAGCACAGGGCACGGAAACAACGCAAGTCGCCAATGCATTCATATTGTGGACGTTCAATCACTACTTATTCTATTTTCTTCATTGTGCATTGTAAAAAGTAGCCACCGCAGGAAGCACTAAGCTAGCATTAGCACTCAGTGTAATAATAATGAGGCATGTAGATCACTGCTGGGAACTTTAGACGCTAACTTGGATTTCCTCTGTGTACTGAAACAGAACAGAGATAACAGATGGAGGTGGGATACTACAGCTTATTCTTATATTAATTGCGATGCGGCTGTGGAAGAATCAGAAACGATTCACAAACATCCAAAGTCATTCTAAAAATGGATAATTGGTCAAGTAAAGCAGAACAGATTATGTGGAGCGTCTTTGAGAGCCCTGAAAAGCGCTGTATAAAACTGTTGCATTATTATTATTATAAATATTATTGGGTGATTTATTTTGGGTTAGTGTTAGCATTAGCGTTAGTGTGGGTCTAACTGTGTGTTTGTCTGCTCCTCCAGCTTCACCTGGCTGTCAGCCCATGTGCACAGTAACATGGTGATGCATTTCTCCGGTAGAATCACAGACAGCTTTGACCGAGAGTTTCGCTGTCTGTACGCCGACTCTCAGGTCATCGACTGCTTCTTCAACCCTGAGGACGAGGGGGTGCCCTTCTACCCCTCATACCAGGGCATGGGCCTCAACATGGGCCTCAACATGGGCCTCAACGTGGGGCTCGACCTGCTCGCTGACGGGTACGTTTTCTTCTTTCATCACTGAATATAGACTGTGGGAGTGGACAAAAACAGGGTTCGCCTTCAGATTCAGATTATTTGCCATTTGAAGTAAAACCACATTGGAGTACATGTGCAAGAGTCCCCAGTGTGCACCAGCAGCTTAAATACAAGATCCAGTGTCCTGCAGCAAACGATAACTTCTACCAGAAGGAGGAAGCTGGAATATGGCTTTTACAGGAACCAGAAGATTTCCTCTTTTCTAAAAACTGGGTTCAAGAGTTTGGATTCATAAAGAACCTCCAGAATAGACAGCTCAGTCCTCTTTAAGAGCATAGCACTTCTCTCTGGTCTCTACCTGGTCTCTCCCTCTCTGGTCTCTCTCTGGTCTCTCTTTGGTCTCTTTCTCAAGTCTCTCTCTGGTCTCTCTCTTTGGTCTCTCTCTCGGGTCTCTCTCTGGTCTCTCTCTCTCTGGCCTCTCTCTCTGGTCCTCTGATCTCTCTCTGGTCTCTCTCTGGTCTCTCTCTGGCCTCTTTGCTTGTGATGTTGCCAAACCACACGTTCCCGCTTTTATTGCCTTAATGTTTTCGATAATGTTCATTGAGCTTGTGGGTTAGCGTTGTCCATTCCTTACATACATGACTAAGGATTGATCTTTTAAATGTTGTGTTTTTGTTGCAGTCGACAAAGAGACAGAGTTTCGTCGGAGAACTCAAGCAGCCAATCCAGTAACAGCGTGTCGAGCGTGAAGGCGGCTCCAGGAATGGCCACAAACAACATCTACAAAGTCACACAGAGTCACGACAAAAAGGAGTCTAACAGCAACACTCACATGAGCCCAGAGCGGAGAGGACAGACCCCGACCAACCAGAACCCCAGCCCCGCCTCACGTGTCAACGGTGCAGCCAATCACGGCGCTGCTCCTGAGAGACCCTATCACCCAATGGGCATTGAGTGGAGCCGGACCAGCCCAGTAGACATGATGCGCTCTAACATCACTGGAGCTTCTTCCAAATTCCAGGCCCTGGGTTTGTACGAGCACAAGCCTACTCTGTTCCACACCAGTGCGTACCCCAACACTAACCCCCCCTCCAAGACTCCCACCCCCGCCCCCCTCCCGGACCCCAAGCTCGGCTCCAAACAGCGCAGTTCATCCAACCAGTTCCTGAACAAACTGTCGGACCTGTTCCTGCCGCCGTCCAGCAAAGACAAAGACGGCTACAGCTACAGCCGCAGGTCGCCCTCCCCACTGGCTGCCTCTCCCTGGGGGGGGCCTGACCTGTCCCAATCTGAGCCTGAGAGCCAGCAGAGCCCGCCACCCCCTCCCTCACCGGGGGTGCTCATGAACCGCCAGGACCAGAAACGCATGACTCTGGGCCACAGCAAACTGGATCTAGTCAATCAGTACAACAAGATGAAGTCCAAGAACGTGTACAGTCGCTTCGAGCTCAAGAGCAGCAATTGAACTTCTGCTTGTGTCGAACTGGATAAAAAGATATAAAGATAAAGATCAAACGTTAGCAATCTCACTGCTGAGAAATGTACATGTTGCATTTGGCTTCAATAGGAGCCCTCAGGGTGTGCAACAGGAAACATGTTTAAAAAGTAAAACTATGAGAGAAGATAGACCTGTATTGTCATTGTTACACCTGAATAAAAGGAGAAATATGAGACTGAGGTGATGCACACATCAAACAGGATCTATTATTTAAGATAATAGAATAATAAGATAATACGATAAAACTCTAGAGCTATAATGTCACTTGCAGGTGAAGTGACAAATAGATTATCAGAACAGACTTATCTGATGAATGGAATATGGAATGATGTAGAAATAAAACGGCTTACGTTTGAGCTGCTCCCTGGACTGGGCTCTGGACTGGCCTCTGGACTGGGCTCTGGACTGTGCTCTGGACTGGCCTCTGGACTGGCCTCTGGACTGGGCTCTGGACTGGGCTCTGGACTGTGCTCTGGACTGGCCTCTGGACTCGTCTCTGGACTGGATGGTGGTGTGTCCTTGGACAGAATTTTCGGCATTACACTTTGATGTTTACAGAAAAGTCTTAAATTATTAGAGAATATATGACTCAGACTTTTCATATTTGAAATTAAGGTTGAACAAACAGTGTGTTTAAGTGAGGTGACCGTGTGGTGAAGGATTCTCTGTGTTTTAGTTTCCAGGGATTAATTACAAAGAGTAACTGTTGGAGTCTTTAAAGGACAGAGTTTCGCCTTAGACTGTCGGAGGACAGAGTCAGACTGGATCTGGGTTTGGGAGGAATCCTCAGCTTTGATCCACACTCCATGGAAACTCTTCTGACATTTGTGCCTTCTTTTCTCCTTACTTACTGCCTTATTCCCAGGTGCACCATGGAAGACACAGCACCTGGTACAAAGACTACATTCCTGGTGCTTGAGGTTCCTCAGAACCATGTGGAAGAATATGCCAAGTTCCTTAAGTGATAACTGTGTGTAACAGGAGTGTGTTGTGATTGTGTACAGGTTTCTGTTGTGATTTAACACTTCATGTATTTATCCTTTACATTAAACTGCATTTGCTTCAGTTCTGGACGAGCGACGGGAGCAGAGGAACTGAGAACTGTTAGTGTTTTGTCGATGAAGACAAAGTGCATATTGTACAGTTGGGTTTACAATCATGTTCTTGTTTGATGCAGACTTTATGAAAATGTGAATGTAAAGTTTCATCTCTTCCCTTTTGGATGAGTGCAAGTATAATAATAAAACACTAGGATAAAATGTGTTGTTTTAACTAAAACAAAGACATCAAAGAAGTTCCTTCATATGGGAGTGTGACAGATGAACGCTGCAGAAGAGTTAGTTAGTTAGATACTTTATTGTACTCCGACAGAGAAAGTCAGATGTTCAGTAGCAGCAAAAAAACATCCTTCCACACAAACAAAAAGTGATCCTTCTAAAAAGCTAACCGTAATAACATTAAGAAACCACACTTCAGGTCACAGCAGCATGGTTCGCACCATTTTCTCTGCTCTGGTCCAAAGTAAAATGCTAATTGTTTTCTTAGAGATAAGATCTCGTCAGAGACTTCCACTCAGTGTTAATCAAAAACAACTTTAAGTTATTTATATAGCACATTAAACAGTGCATAAGGGTCTCCGTTAGAGTGGTTGTCACGGTAACAGTCTGTTGGTCCCAGGTTTCCCTCACTTTTCATTCACAGAAGTCAGTGACGTTGTGTTTGAGTTAGAAACTTTTGCTCGGTTCCTTTTCGAAGTCGACTGTTTCCTTTGTCCTGCTGCAGGTGTGACAGCTCTGTATCAACACAACTAGCTTTAGAAATGATAGACTTCAATAGACTCTGGAAAGTTTGTCCCTTGCCTTTCTTTGTTCCAGAAATAAATCTATTGAACTAGTTACGTAGTTAACTTATGAAACATGTTTTACTTTATATCAAAAACATAAATGGAATTAAACCTGTGTTTGACAGGTTTGTTGTACAAAGTGTAATAAAAGTCAAAGATTATTTATGCACATTTCATGTAGTTCATTTTGTATTGATTTAGCAAAAAGCTACTTTAGTATAAAACTAAAAATACATTTGTGTATTACAAGCATTCAATGTTATTTTTGTGTTTGTTACATTTTGTTAACAAACACAGAATAAAACAGGAGCACCTGTTACAAGCTTCACATTTAAATAATGGAAGGACCACACAGTAATGTGAATGTGGCCGGATGTGGCCCCTGGGCCACACTTTGCCCAGGTCTGAGACAGACTAATGCAGAGACATCCAGTTTCACAATATTCCATCATTCAAATCTTCTTTTGGGATTTTACTTTGAGCCATAATTACTGTATCCCAATCAAAAACTTAAAACCTTGATATTGCTCAGCTGTGAAGAGTCTGTTAAACACTGGTCCCATTGTTCCATTACAGTTAATTGACTCATTGAACAAAACCATAGTTTGAGAAGTGTCGGTTACCATGGAAACATTATTATTATGACCAAACTGTTTCCTACAGATACAGAGGCAGCTCTAATGTGAGGTGATTGTGAGAAAAGTGACAACAAATAAACTGCACTGACTCTGGATCAGAAAGGACTCCTGTGTCTGAGTGAAACCTGAGATCACAGAAGCACCTCCTTCTCTGACTTCTCTTCTGTTTCTCCTCTCGTCTCTTGTCTCTGAATCCTCTCTCGTCTCTGACTTCTCTCTCTTCTTTGACGCAGTGACTGTGTGATCTTCTGGCTGTGATAAAATATCCATATCCCTTTTGTTTAACAGTTTGTTTTTTCCAGAGTGAGCTGCAGACTGAATGAAGCCTCTCACTGTCGCTGTTACAAAGAATCACTTTCTGACTAACAAGGAGAGCTCTGTGTCACTGTGACTGTGGGGAAATAGGACCTGGACTCTGACAAAGGACAATATCTTCTCATATATTTGTTTTTATTCCAAATGAAATAAATATATATTAATCTAAATCAGTCCTGGGGCACACTGACAGAAGTGAGGCAACCAGTCTGTGCTATCTGCCCCTCCCACCACCACCAATCACTCACACACACTCAATTCAATTCAATTTGATTTTATAAAGCCCTAAATCACAGACGTTTGCTCAGAGGACTTAACAAAACCGTTGAAATCTGCAACATCCATTTGATTCACCTTAATCGATTTTTGGGTCGGGGGGGGTGGCAGTCAGAGTCAGTGGCATGTACACAGAGCACCAGCCCCTCACTGATCCTCCTGCAGGTGGAGAGTCCACAGGAGCTGAGATCTTTCAGCGGGGCTTCAGGCAAAGTGGGGTTAAGTGTCTTGCCCAAGGACACAACAACAGCAAACATCAGTGGGAGTCATGAAGATGCCACGACCTTCAGGCTCAAATGCTCTACCAACTGAGCCACTGTCCCCAACACAGAACAGAGAATCAAATAAAAAAAATATAGAACACATAGGTAATGGTCCAAAGGGAGTTGACCAATGTTGTAGAATGTAGAGTGTCCTGAACCACTAGAAGTCTGGTGTTTTTTAAAGTGCAGTGCTTGGTTTGGTTGGTATGACACTAACATGTCTTGGAGATGGGAATAAGCCAAGCCATTTTTTAAAATTTAATTATGTACTCCACAGGGAGCCAGTGGAGTGATTTTAACACCGGAGTATTGTGCTCCTCCTTTTGGTACCTGTTAAGATTCTTGCTGCTGTATTTTGAACGAGCTGAAAGCTCTTCAAAGAAGTTTTAGGGCACATTGCCAGCAACGGGTCACAATAGTCAAGCCTTAAGGTGACAAAAGTATGAATGCATTTTTCACTTTCATGAAGGATATTCCTGATTTTAGTGATATTGCTCGGGTGGAATATGCAGTATTAGTTGCTTAGTTTATATAAGCCTGAAGAAGAGTTCTTTGTGGATTATGATTCCGAAATTCCTCATTGAGGCTAGGTGCTACGCGAACATTGTTGAGTGATTATTTGATTGGCACACCAGACTCATTGTAGCTCTTTGACCGCCAGCCTTTTTTGATGATTTCACTGATTTTCAAGACTCACAGAACATTGTGTGCTGAAACTAGAGACTAAGACTGGACTGTCTACTTTCAGCAGCAAAAAGAAGTTTGTCTCTAGCTTGCTTTGTTCTTCTGTAATTGTCGAAAAGGGGGAAGTGCGAAATTGCAAAAATCACCAGTTTTATGCCGCATTCAGACTGGATCATGCGTTGCGTTGGCTTTCAATGCAAAGTCTATGGTGACGAGCGTTCGACCGTCACAACGCACGGACCTCTCGGCACGCACGGACGGACTGTTCAGTAGACACGCACGGACTTGGCGGGAAAGTGAAAAGGGAGGAGCAGGAGCGAAAAATTGACGCCCACAGGAGATGGATTCTGCTCATCCTTTCCTTGGGATGTTCATGCAGCGACTAATCAGAGAGCAGCAAAGTGGTCACGGGGACATTAGCGGACTGAGCTTCACCAGAACTCAAACCAGGGTTGACAATGGGGGACTCTGTACTTGTGAGAATATGGGTTTTCATGCTCCCGTGACCCTATGCAACTGCTTTGAGTGTGTTCGCCGATGCGGAAATACAGTTTAATAATATGAAAACACGTATGGAGCACCTCCGTGAACACATACTACTGTTATATAAAGCCCGTGGAAGGTCTCTGAACAAAGACACGCTGCAAAGCTGCATATTTGAGAAGATCTGTACACAAGAAGCCGCTAGCTAAACTCGGTTTGCATCAGAGCCGGCCGGCTACTTCTGGTACTTCCGGTGCGCGTCAGGACGTTCTGGTGTGAAGTCCTCTGCGTCTGACAACTAGAGAATGCCCGTCTGGTGAGTGGGGCTTCAGTGTTTGAGCGTTTGCGGTCTGAATGCACCATTATGGTGATTTCAGACCGCCAACGCTGAAGCTCCGCTCCATTACAGAAAAAGTTGAGAAAATGAGGTGTTTGTGAAAACAGACAAACCTGCAGAAAAGTGACTAACACGATTTAGTTTAACTTTAGCGTCTCCTCAAACATGTCCAGTATCTTATTTGATAGAAAACAGTAAATGCAAATGAGTTTTTTGATGCAAAATAATATGTTTTATGACACACAAACCCACATCCAAGTGTTGCTTGATTATTTCAAAAAGTACAATTTTCTATAGACAAAAGAAAATTCCCACGTTATTCAATGGAGACACACACTGATCATCGGCATTTACAGTATAAGTGTTTCTCCCATCGTATACAGATGGGGGACCGTTCGACGCCGCTTGCAGCTTTAATTTGTATCGTGATTGTCCACTTTGATGAAGGCCGTTGTCCATACTGTGTTTGAATCTTTGATCTGTGTTGGCCAATCGACAGAGATAGCTACTGTTGTCTACAGGCCTGTGTGGAGGGGACGCACCTGCTGCACTGAACTTATGTCATGAAGAATCCTGACATAAATGAAACGCAGCGGAGCAGAGAACTTGCCCAGAGTGAGATCAGTCCCAGCACGTCGCCGTCTCAGTGAGAATCAAATTTTGCTTGAAAGTTAACAAGTTGCAGCAAGTCTCAGTCTTCTCTAAAATAAGTCACACAATTCAGAATGACATAGAACCGCTGATAATGAATTCCATCATAACGGCTTTGGATTCTCTGTTAACAATACTGTAGCGCCCCATGCAGGCCAATGGCACAGCTTTTCCATTAGATCAGTATCTTTAATACTGCACAAGCAGGCCCGTCCCAAGGGGGGTGCGAGGCCCTGTGCGAACTCGAAACGCGAGGCCCTGCCCTGACACTTTTTTCCCAGATCTGAGGAAAGTTTTTCCTGTTATAATCTTTGACATGAATTCAGCACCACCTCGCGCGGTGCTTGACGAGATCAGCACGCGTGTAACCGAGTGTCTTCGCTCCTATGCAGCGTTTGGCGCGCGCACGTACACACGCACACACACTCTACGTGCAATATTGGTCGCGGTCTTTTTAGCTGACATGTCTCTTTCGTCCTGTGGCAAAATGGTAGAGCAACTCAAAAGATTGAACCAAAAGGAGTCTTTTTCTTCTAATAGTTAGATTTTGGCAAAATGCGCCAAAATGGCTATGAGGCGGAGTCAATATTATTTTTTTCTCATCAAATAACGTTTTTGCCATGCCTCCACACACTCTGACAACATACACTCCTCCTCCTCCACACTGACAACAACAAAATACTCTTCACCTCCTCCTCCACACACTCTGACCACAACAAAAACACTCCAGCTAGCTAAAGCTAGACATACAGTGTGTTTGCTAATGCTTTTAAAAATATGTTTTTGATGTGGATATTCGGACTAAACATTGGCAATAGCAGCGCTCACACACCTGTCACACCGCTGATCCTCCTCCTCCTCCTCTGCTCACACAAAGGGGTCTGCTCCTCTGCTCACACCTGTATCACTGCTCCTCCTCCTCCTCCTCCTCCTCCTCCTCTGCTCACACAAAGGGGTCTGCTCCTCTGCTCACACTTGTCTCACTGCTCCTCCTCCGCGAGTATCCATCTCTCCTACACTGCGATCATTCCCGTTACTTTCTTTGTATCTCACTCAGACACTGCTAAAGTTATCTGACAGTTTTTTCGGAGGACCCGTTGCATACATAGCTGCCCGCGCGCCTGCCTGTTTACAAATCGCTTTTGGTGAAAATTTGACTTTACTTGTAAAAATGTTCTTTTGATCAAACGAAATCAAAGAGGTCCAGAGAAAGGGGTTTAGGGTTCCAAATTTGGAGTGCAGTCTGCCCTTTGGGGACCCTTGAACTAGTGTATTTATAAAATAAAATAAAAGGAAGGAAGATTGCGAGGCCCCTGTGTGGTGCGAGGCCCTGTGCGACGGCACAGGTCGCACAGCCCTTAGGACGGGCCTGTGCACAAGCATGGGCCAATATCGACCACACACATACAGGTCTCTGCTCCTCAACTAAACTTTTGTTTTAATTTTGTTTATTGTTTTTTTTCAAAATAGGTTTTCATATCAGATGCTTTAAAACCAAATGAGAGGTATTATTTTCTCCCTCCCATCACAATAAGGGTTAAATAGACTTTTGGAACAGGGCTCGGTCCACAGTACCTGATATTGCAGAACCTCCAGGAACGTCCACTTCCTCTGCTGGTCAAAGAGAGTATTACCTCTGATCTTTACTGTGGCTTTGATTAGTTACACCATTTTTAAGTTCTATCGTTCAATATGACACTATTTTTTTATGATCTGTTTCAAAAAAGGTTATTTCATAGTTAAAATGTTTTTATTTTTTTAAACAAGGCACAACTTATTCTTAGTTCTTTGATCCCTGCGGCTAATGTAGCGATACAGCATATAATGTGTGTATAATGTGTATTTTTATTGTACTAGAGGTGAACTGTCAGAGCAGGGAGTTTACAGACTTTTTATTTTGGAAGCTAACGGTGAATTGGCCCCGAGGCTCAGACAGAGGAACTTTTAGCTAAACTCGAAACAGTCTTTGAATCCATCATCAGAAGTGAAAAACTTTTGACTGACTTTTATTCCTCACATTAAGAACATCACAAAATTAAGTTCAAAGAGCATACAGAGCCAGAGTCTGATCCAATCACTCAGGGCAACACAGACGCTGATGCATCATCACCGGAGGCTATGTCTATTACAGTGTATGCACGACTTTGACCTACAACCAACAGGTTTGATATCCCTGTTCTCTGTGTGGTCTCTTCAGCAGTGGTGAGTTCAGGTGGTTAGAAAAGTGTTGCTATGTCCCATATTTCTCTTATCATGTGTTATCTTAAGAGCCCCTGTCATAAAGCAGGGACCACTCTCGTCAGTTAGAATTTCTAAAGAAAGAAAGCATATCATCCAAACTCTCTGAGCTTTTTGCGGTTTCCTGAGGCTGCTGCTGCGGCGGCGGCTGCGGTGGCTGCTGCTGCTGCGGTGGCTGCTGCTGCTGCGTCTGCTGAGGATAATGTGACACAAACATTGTCCCTGGTGCTGGAGGAAAAAACTGCATATTTGGGCGCATAAACGGCGGCGAGAAAGGGGGACAAAATGGCGGTGGTGGATACTGATAGCCGATTGGTGGGCCTTCCGATGCGGATACCCCAGGAGGAAGGGGCTCGAATGTGGGGTAACTCTGAGCAGTAGCTGGGCGAAACTCTGGAGCAAAACTCTGAGATGGACCAGCCGTGTCAGGACCTTGTTGGAGGAAATCCTGTTGTACTTTGGGTGGAGCAGGAGGAGCAGCTGGAGGAGAATATGGAGAAGGAGCTGGAGGACTGGTTTTAAACTCTGCTTCTGGTTTGGTTTCTGGTATCTCCTCTGTGTCTGTGGTTGGTTTGAAAAGTGTTTTGGATTTGAATGAGTTGAATTTTCCAAATCTGGCTTTTTTGACGTCGTCGTTGTAATAAGCAGAAGGCGGCGCAAACTCAGAGTCGCGTTCTGTTCGACGGCGATCTTTCCATTCGTCAAACATGAACTCTGCAATAAGACACACATTATAGATACACAAACACACATTTATTGTACAAATACAGTACATCTATATATGTACTATATGTGAGGGAGTACATGTATTGTAAATTTTTAGTGCATTTTTGTTACACTGTTTGTGACACAGGGTACATTCAGCTTTAGGAAAATCTCTCTCAGAGAGAGACCAGAAAGAGGGACCAGAGAGAGAGACCAGAGAGAGAGACCAGAGAGAGAGACCAGAGAGAGAGACCAGGGAGAGAGACCAGGGAGACATCAAAGGATGTTGTAGAAGATCTAGAACTTCGTACGTAAGTAAGTAATGTTTATTTTTATAGCACATTTTACAGACCAAGGTCACCCAAAGCGCTTTACAACGCTTTTCGTGACAGTTTTTGTTCCATATGGTCTGGACCAGGGATTACAGTGAATCTGACTTCTGACATTTACCATAGTTACCAACACAGGCTTTCTAGCCACCCTCCACCAGTGGTAAACTATCGGCTCTGTGGACTGTTGTGGTCCTACCTTTTCCTCTGTCCCACTCGCGGACGTGTGGCACTCCTGGTTTTGTGTCTCTTCGTTCCTGGATCTCCACCTCCACCTTCTTCACCATGCTTGGCTTTGGGACGTCCTCAGTCTCCTCCTCTTCCTCTTCTGGGTGAAGAAACAGCAAAGACGATTATTCACAACATGGGAGAAAACACAGGTGAAAGCGGATGTAGTAGAATATAACAGAGAGGTTCATCACCAGATAAAATAACACACTAATCTGTGACGAGGCGAATGTTAGCTTGCATTAGCATGATCACCTTTGCTGTTAGCTTCAATGTAAGGCAAGGCAAGGCAAGGCATGTTTATTTGTATAGCACAATTCATACACAAGGCAACTCAAAGTGCTGAACAAGATAGCATTAAAATCATAAATAATCACAGAACATTAAAAAGAAAGATAAAAATATAAAATCCCTCAGTTGTATGCACAGCTAAACAGCACAGTTTTTAACTTGGTTTTAAACATAGTCAGAGAGGAGGCCTGTCTCACATCTTCAGGAAGAATGTTCCAGATTTTAGCAGCATGAATCTGAAAAGCAGCCTCCCCATGTTTAGTTCTGACTCTGGGCACTAACAGGAGTCCAGTCCCTGTGCTCCTCAGAGTCCGGGCTGGTTCATATGGGACTAACATGTCACTAATATATTTTGGTGCGAGGCCATGGAGAGACTTGTACACAAGCAGAGCTGTTTTAAAGTTTATTCTCTGAGCCACAGGAAGCCAGTGCAGAGACCTGAGGACCGGACTAATATGGTCGTACTTCCTGGTTCTAGTCAGGACTCGAGCTGCTGCATTTTGAATGTACTGCAGCTGTTTTACAGCCTGTTTGGACAGACCTGTGAGCAGGCCATTGCAGTAGTCTAACCTACTGGAGACAAATGCATGGATAAGAATCTCCAATCTCCAAGTCTGCTTTAGACACTATGTAGAGCCTCTTCTCAAAACTTTTCTGTAATACTGTTGAGACTATGAACTGGTTTTTCTTCTTCTCTAACCTCTGGCTTCTCTCTCTGACCACTCTCTCTGAATTCTTTCTTTTTGGTCACTCTCTCCCTGGTCACAGGTTTATGACATGAGTGTACTGAAGGTGAACAGGGGTCAGTGCTCCCTTTATTGTGAGGAGAGGCATCAGGCTGCTCTGTCAGTGATGCTCTGCTCTGTCTCCATCGAGCCCCTTCTGCGTTGGCTCAGAGCCGCTGCCAGGGGCAGCACCTTTTAACGTCTATGTCTACAGACGACATCATGATGATCATTAGCACTAGGAGTGTGACGATAGATCGAGGTTTCAATATATCGCGATACTTTCTCCCACGATCGATTGTCGATATGCATTTGCCAAGTATAGATTTTGAAGAAAAAATATATATATATTTTTTTCTATTTTTATTTTTTAATAGTATCAATACTTAATATTTTTTCACTTAAAATGTTTCTATTTTATGTGCGCCATATATTGGCATATGGAATATTAATGACCAATATATCGATAATCGTCATATCGTGATATAATCGTTTTCGTGAGCTTTGTATTGCGTATCGTATCGTATCGTGAGGTACCCTTAGGTTCCCACCCCTAATTAGCACCCAGAGGGATATTGAGGTCCTTGCTGATACAGTGTTTGGCCAAATCTCCAGCTCCAAGGACAACAGTATTGCACATAAATGTGGTCTGAAAATGATGTTATGTTTTTAAACTGTGCTTAAAACCCTCTCACACTCTGGCGCCCCCCTCACACTCTGGCGCCCCCCTCACACTCTGGCGCCCCCCTCACACTCTGGCGCCCCCCTCACACTCTGGCCCCTCTCTGGTCTGGTTCTTACGTTCATTATCATCATCCTCTTCTTCTTCTCCATCAAGTTTGTTGTTCTTCTTCTTCCTCTGTCGGACCTTCTTGAGTCGCGCCTGGAGAATTGCTTGTCTCTTCTCTTTCAGACGCTCGCGTTTCGTTCGTTGATCCGTCGTCTGAAAAAAAATGTATTCTATTAAATAAAGTTGGAATACCTCACTTCTTTGCTGCGATCTTTTGCTGGTTTTGCATACTGCATGCTGATTGGCTTAGAGATGAATGGGGCTTAACAAACAGAACTAATGATAAAAGCAAGAAACTTAAGCCCTGTTTCCACAACTCTACCTGGTTGCTGAAGTATATGGAAACACTCCCAATCAGGGGAGGAAAGATGAGGGGAGAGGAGACAGAAATGAACAAGAGGAGACAGGAATAAACGCTCCCTTCACAGCAGAGTACAGCAGAGCACAGCAGAGCACAGTAGAGCAGAGTACAGTAGAGAACTCTTACCTGGTCTCGGAGCATGTCCAAAGTGTCCCTCTGCTTCCGTCGTTCCTCCACATCATGAGAAAAGGAGAAATAACCGACGCCCAGCTCTCTGGCCTCTGCATCAGGAGAAGATTAATCCTCATTTAGTCCTTAACTATAGAACTCCCAAAGCAGTCAATTTGGCGGATTTTCCTTTAAGACGCGTAATGTCCATAACTATGTGACTTTTTGTTCCTACATGTACTTTTTTTGCCAATATTTTAATGAAATTATCTTTTATTTTTTTAAATGTTAGTAGTCATTTTGACTGCCCCATTTGTTTCAATATTAAATTCAAACATTTTTGATCGCTTAACATTCTATGACAGTTCAAGCCCCGCCTCTCCAAGGCGTTGAAATTCGATCGTGAGAAAACTGACTGACTTGTTTGATATGAACAAGTACAATCAAGACAAGAACATTGGAACTATCGTTTACGGAAACTGGCATCTTTGTGTGGCATCTTTGTGTGGCATCTTTGTGTGGCATCTTTGTGTGGCATCTTTGTGTTGTGTTCCATGTCAGTGCTTTGACCATGTCTGTCCCAGTATCCCTCTCTCTCTCTGAGAGCGGGAGGTTGGACGTGGACTTGTCTAAATCCTGATATTCTGAGTTCAGACCTTGTGCTCTGATGTTCTCGTAGTGCACTGGTCCCACCGGCCTCTTCATCGCCTCCTCTTCCTCTCTCTCCCACTCCTTCCTCTGCAGCTCTCGTCGCATGTCCTCAGAGAGAAGGGTTTTCTGAGCTTCCGGAACTTTTCTGGTAAAAACAAGTTAAGTAGCAGCTATTAACCCATGATCAAGGACTCCTGGATGAATGAACATTTATAAAAACTAAACAGAATCTGATTTTAACCATAGCTTAGTTATAGAAGTTAACAATTCACTTTTAAATGCAACCAATACAAAAGTGTGTTTCATGGTCACTATAGATGTTTACCCGGTGTTCAAATCCAAGTCCATTCTCTGGAAACTGGGAAGGTCTTTCTTCATGCACCTTCGTGATCGTCCCAAAGAATCAACATAGTCCACCCTGCAAAACAAACACATAGAAGAGTCCTGGGTCAACAGCCTCAGTCCTGGATCTACAGCCTCAGTCCTGGGTCTACAGCCTCAGTCCTGGGTCTACAGCCTCAGTCCTGGGTCTACAGCCTCAGTCCTGGGTCTACAGCCTCAGTCCTGGGTCTACAGCCTCAGTCCTGGGTCTACAGCCTCAGTCCTGGGTCTACAGCCTCAACCCTGTTTTATCATTGCATTTCCTAAGTTTGAGCTGTTTGATTCTCTGATCTGTCTTGGCGAATCAACAGCTTTTAAAGTAGCAGTATGTAATATTTGCATGTCAAGTCATCATTAAATGGCGTTATTAAATCATGCTCTTTTTGAATACATCGTTAATTGATAACAGTAGTTCAGCCGAGATATTTGATTATCAAAATTAGTTTTACGACCCGTAAAAGTTGTTATGATGTCCTGCCCTTCGCCAATCAGGAAGTGTCATGTAAGTCCGTGATCAGGTTGCCAGAACTCCGCGCGGCTCACTAATCTCAGAGGTAAAATAACATGTGGCCGCAGAACTTAAAAAAGGTCTTGTTATGACTCTCAAATCATTAATGACAAAACAAAGACTAAAACGAGGATTTATATCAGGACGCCTTTGAACAATTGAGACAACTGATAAAAGTTTACATGTGATGCAAAATTTGCTGGTTTGAGTCCGTTCTTCAGAGTAGTTCTCAACGCGCGAATTGGTGGTCTAGTGGTTTAAACTACGCGCTCTCAACCCAGTAACCCGGGTTCGATTACGGGCTGACCTTCTTTATATTTAATTACATGTTATCACATTCTATGACAGATTGCTCTAAAAACGGTAAAAGACACAGGTCTAGACGTTTTTTTGCAGATTATAGCTTAATTGTAAAAAGAATCATTTAATGTTAGTCTCTTTTTGATGTGGGACTTATACATGTTTGTCTAAAAAATAGGGAATAAATAAAATTGAAAGGTGATATCCTCTTGAGCAAACCCTGATGTTGATACGCTGAAGAAATACGTTCCAACATCCATTCTTCCCACTCCTATTTTGGACATCAATTGCTTATTTATTTTGGATAATCTATAATTACATTGCTTTTATTTTGTTTTGTGTTTATTATCTCAAATGTCCAAATAAAAAAAATAAAATCAAAACATTCATTCAGCATTAGCACGCCTCATGGCAATGTGAATGGAGACAGACAAACAACTGATAAAATAATTCCCTGTGTTTGCTGCTGGATTTGGTGTGTATCTGGCAACCTGAGTCAGGGAGAGTAGGAGAGGATTACAAAATATTGACTGTGACTGCAGTACCACTTTTGGCCAGATTTTTACATATTGTTCCTTTAACAATCCTCTGAGATAACTACTTTTGTGATTTAGGGACATCCATTCATACATTGAATTGAAATGAAGCAAAAGCAAATGTAGAGTAACTGAGAACCGTTAATAAACCAACGGCTGTAGTGGTGCCTGGTGAACACTAGAGGACTCCCCCACTCCATGTTGGTCAGTACTTTCAGATCGTGCCTTGTGCTCTTCAGCGAGAGAGAAGGTTCAACACAATATAAACGCTGAACACGTGAGCCGCTATTGTGGATGAGAGAAATGACAGAACACTTCCTCTTACCAGTGACTATTGTTGCATTCTCTCCCCTCTCTCTTATCTTACTGCTCTTTCTCTTTCTGGTCTCTCTCTCTTACCATTCCTCGTCTGGGTGTTCTGGAGGTGGGATGGGAGTCGCCCTCTCCTCCTCCTCTCTCTGTCGCTGCCTCTCTGCCTCCTGCTGTGATCGAGTCTCATTCTTTTTATCGATAATTTTCTGAGTGAAGTCGACGAGAAAGAGTCCCTCCGTCTCCTCGTCTGATCACAAACAAATTGTTAAAACAGTATTACTTTAAACATTAAAGTAATATAAAAACAGTATATTAAAGTGGTGCCTCTTGACCTACTGCACCTGGTAAATCGCCTTTCGACATTTGCTCGTAAAGTTTTGCCTTTTCTTCCAATTTCCGTCTGTGGAGAAAGCAGACTTTGCTCAACAACAAACTATTGTTTTTAATGCAGTAATGATTCTTTCATTGATCTCTGACACATCCAGACAAAATAATGTAGTTTTGACATTTTCTGTCGATATAGTTTCAGCTCAGAAACTGTGTCCACATGAATGAAGTTGGTACGCCTGAAAACGCTGTAAAACTGCCAGGCCTGCTCACCTCTCCCTACCTCATCCTCTTTCTTCTCCCCCATCTCCTCTCCTCTCCTTTCTCTATTTTGCTGTCCCTCTCTCTCTCCCTCCCTCCCTCCCTCTCCTCCTCTCCTCTCCTCCTTTCTTTCTCATCTTCTTTCTCCCTCTCTCCCCTCCTCTCCCCAACAGTACCAGTTCCTGACCAAGCTGACCACCAACACCTGGAGTATAACAGTAATATTGTGTTAACTCCCACTGTATCTCGTCATCAATCAAAACAGCAGGTTGTTCACTGATTGGTTCCCAAACTTCAACGTGAATATACAATTTCTGTCCTGACAAACAACAGGCATGAAAGAAAAGTAAGGTAACCCAGCCCCACACACCTGGAAGCAGTGAGGTCACTTCTCTCCTCTGCCATCTCCTCTGCATCCTTCTGAGCTCTGGCTGAAACTCCTGCATTCTGTTTGTTAAACACTGACGGCTTCTATAGACCACACACACACACAGAGAGAGAAAGCGAGAGACAGAGTTTAAGCACAACAAATAAGTTACTCGCTCCTAATAAACACACGCAATTACGCACACAGACACTTACACACACATACACAGACAAGAGAGACACACACCGACTACATACACAGAAACAAGAGACACACACACACACACACACACACACACACACACACACAGACAAGAGAGACACATACAGAGATGAGAGACACATACAGAGATGAGAGACACATACAGAGATGAGAGACACTCACACACCTTAGTAACTTTGTCTCTGACTTTGCTCGCACTTCCACCGCTGACTTGTGAGAGTTTGTCTTGCTTAAACTGCTCCTGTTTCCTGTAGAGTTCCGCCTTCAGATCCACCAGCTGAACAACACAAGGTAAACAGCGCAATAGTTACAAACAGAAACGTAAATATGAATGAACAGTGCATACAAGTTCACACAGTGGTGATGGCACCATGTTTACGTTAGCATGTTAGCATTTCAGGCTGTGAATGCGTTTTACAACACTGTCATCGAGATAAATTCACTGAACGCATAGTCACAAGTCGAGTGACATCATACACTCACCGATGAGGCTGTGACCGAGAAGGGTTTCTTTTTATCCATGTTAATATCGGCTCCTGGATGTTGTCATTTCTCCTTCAGCGTCTCCTCAGACTGGTGCCATGTCCCACTGTCGCCCCCTGCAGGTGAACTGGCGTATTAGTGTACAAGTCTCTCCATGGCCTTGCTCACAGATGTTATGGCTCTTAACATCTGTGACACGTTAGTCCCATATGAACCACCTCTGGGGAGCACAGGGACTAGCCTCCTGCTGGGACTCTGAGGAGCACAGGGACTGGGATTCTGAGAGTCCCAGAGTCAGGACTAAACATGAGGCAGCTGTTTGTACAGCTGCCTCATGTTGTCTGTCTGTCTGTTCACTGATTTTATCTTCACTCTTTTTAATGCATTGTGTTTATTTTATTTTTTAAATGCTGTGTGTGTTTTGGTCTTGTTCAGCACTTTGAGTTCCCTTGTGTATGAACTGTGCTATTCAAATAAACTTGACAACCCAGATTGTAAAACAGTTTTTTAACTGAACCTTTGTTCTGAGGTGTGATGTCTTCATATCGATTGAGATTCACATCAATGGACTGTAAATATTAACACCACAGCTTCATTTGTGCCATATATAGACTTTTGTGAAACACAAACAACATCAAATGTCAATGTATAAAAATAAGATGGTGCAGCATGACTACACTGGTGGAGCTGAAGTAGGCTGGATGACATTGAAAGTTAAGAGTCAGACACATCACGGGACAAAGCAGGTCTTAAAATACATGGGTTTGTGGTGGGTTTACAGGCAAAGTGGTCACCAGGACACAACACAAGCCGGTCAGAGCAAGAAAACAAAGCGACAATAACTAAACCAAGACTAAACCAGTGCTGACAGTGGGGGACACAGTGCTTTTGAACAGATGCTTCCAGCCTGAGTTTCTCTTATTACTGTAAAGCCTTGCCAACAAGGAGGCTGCCAACCTCCTTGGTGACTTCTGCCAGGGAGGTAGACGTATCTGCCCCAACATCCTCAGCCTCTGCCTCCGGAAGGAGGTCGTGACAAGGGGATTGAGGAGAACTTCAAAGTATTTCATCCACTGGCCAACAATATCCCAAGTCGAGGTCAGCAGCTCTCCACCTGCACCATACACAGCATTGGCAAAGAACTGCTTCACCCTCCTGAGGCGCCGGACGGTTTGCCAGAATCTCTTTGAAGCCGACCGATCGTCAGGCTCCATGGACTCTCTGAACTCCTCCCAGTCCCGGGCTTTTACCTCTTCCACAGCCCGGGTTAGGGTTACTGTACTGGTCCTGGACACAAGCCTTGGGAGTCCCGCAAACCATCATGGCTCGATAGGACGACTTCTTCAGCCTGACGGCATCCCTTACTACCAGTATCCAAACGGTTACGGGGGTTGTTGCCAGGACCAAGACCAGCTACGAGCTGCTGCATCGGCGATAGAGGTGGAGGCCCACTCAGACTCAATGTCCCCCTCCTCCACCGGGATCTGGAGGAAGCTCTCCCAGAGGTGAGTTGAAAGTCCGCCTGACAGGGACGTTCCAGCAGACCCCCACTACACGCTTGGGTCTGCCAGGTCTGACCGGTTTCCTCCCCTGCCAGCGGATCCAACTCACTACCAGGTGGTGATCGGTTGATAGCTCTGCCCCTCTCTTCACCCGAGGGTCCAAGACACATGGCCAACGGTCACATGATACGACAGCAAAGTGCCACGTGTACTGGTGGACACCCTTGTACTCGAACATGGTGTTCGTGATGGACAAACTGTGACAAGCACAGAAGTCCAACAACTGAACACCACATGGGTTCAGATCAGGGTGATTGGTTGGTGCACTGTCAAGAACCCCTCCCAGGGACTCTGCACTGCTGTTAGGCCCGAGACCGTCACAAGTGTCCCCCATCGTAGCACTATGACGTCATCATAGTGCTGTGCATGGTTGGCTTTGGACTGCGCCTCATCTGACTCTTCACCCTAGACCTGTTTGCCATGGGAGGCCCTACCAGGGGCCTAAAACCCCAGACAACAGAGCTCCCAGGTTCATCAGAGTAGTCAAACTCCCCTACGAAGTTACGGTTAGGGAACATAAAACGGCTTAGTTGTCACCTGTTTGAAACTGTGACTCGGACTCCATTCCTTGGTTTAGTAATTGTCTAAGTCTTTTCTCATCAATTCTTGTTTCTTATACAGACCCATGTCCAAGCTGCATCAACAATAACCAATTAGGCTTAAAATGAATGCAGTACGTTATTGTAATAAGAGCGACGTATGTATACAAGACACACAAAAGCTTTCAGATCTAATAGAGAAACTGGGTCAAAGCAAATTTCTTTGAAAGAGCATACATGCAGGACTTTAATGCATGTGTCCCAAGACATCCTTTTTAGTTGCAATTTACAGACATTATCTGAATGGACTTGACCTCTTTTCAGACATAAGGATAATTTGTTATGTCCATTAACCGACAAAAGCAGAGAGCATCTCTGTTTCATGTAGGGTTTCTAATGACAAAAAAACAGACATCTTTGCTCAATAAAAAGTGCATTTTAAGGACCTCCTGAACCCATTTCACTGCTGAAAAAAACAAGGTAGACAGATGTACATAGCTAACCTGCTAGTGCAATAGGAAAGTGCCCATGGTGAAGTTTGGCTCCTCTCTCTCGCTCCTATTAACTTCCAAGAAAAAGTAAACTTCTAGCAGTGTAACCGTTTGTGTCACACAATTTTAGCCGTAAATCTGGGGTTTAGTGCTCTCTCTGTGTATATAGGGCTGTATTTAACAAATATTTTGAAAATCAATTAGTTAGCCAATTCTTCTATTAGTTTGGAACCTCTGAATACATACGATAAAAATTATGAGACTTGAGAGCTTGGAGTAGAGCTGCTGCACCTCCTTGTGGAAAAGAGCCACTGGAGGTGGCTCATCTATTTGGGATGCCTCATGGTCTCCTCCTTGAGGATATCCCACCGGGAGACCAGAGGAAGACCTGGGACACAGAAGACTCAAGACTGCTTGAGGAACTGATACTTTATGGAATTAAAACTGGTGCTCTGTGTACTGGGTACAGCTCTGACTGCCACCCCCCGACCCAGAAATGGATTAAGGGGAAGAAAATGGATGGATGGATGGAATTAAGACTAGAAAAAGGATTTCAGTTTCTGTATTAAGTTGATAAACAGCAAATACAAACCAGAACACCGCACACAGAAGTAAAACTCCAGATCAAAAAGACAATTAATTACAGAAACAAGATACACACAAAATGTTCAACTTTAAAATTATAATGTTTGGAATGCACAGAACAGGAACCATTGCCAGCGCAGACTCAGATCCCATAGAGCTGGTGTGTGTTGTGGCGGATAGTGCTGAGGACAGTGGACATGTCCGCTCCCTTCAGGAGGCTGATCTCCTGCAGAGTGTGGATGCCCATCCCAGGGTGAGAGAACCTACACACACTCTTACTCACCTGCAGCACAGAACCAGACAGTTATAGAGAGACAACAGAGAGACCAGAGAAAGACCTTGTGTGACCTGTCTGGGCAGGAAGTAGGGGGCATCTGTCTCCAAGACAATTCGCTCCAGTGGGATCCTGCGCACGGCACCACGAGCCTGAGTGGCGCTGGAGTACGTGATGAGAGACGTGAAGCCCACGTACAGGTTTGGGAAAGCTTCCAGGAATGGCTCGATCACTGGAAAGGCGTTGGTGAAACAGTGACTGGAAACAAGGACAACATTTGTCATTTTAGTCCAGGGAAGAAAATACATTCTTTCAGCTTTTAGGAGCCGTTTTAATCCATCAACAATAAACAGCAGACTTCAGTCTGGTCTTTCATCATTGATTTTTCACCTCTGCTCCTCTGTCCATCTTAAATCCTTCAGGCCAACCACTCAGGAGCAGTTTGGGTCAGAACCATGACTTCAGCCATTTTTGACACACTGCTCCCTCTGGTGCCATTGGCCACAACACTGATTGACAGACTTTTTTCAGTTTGGTTCCACCCTCCGTCCTCTCCCTCCCTCCCCACAGAGCAGACTCTGACCGGTGGATCTTGTAGTCTCTGGGGACACACTTGGTGAGAATCGGCAGCAGATCATCGTCAGCGTCTCGACAGTGAATCACCAGCGGCTTCTTCATTGCCACGGCCAGCTTCAGCTGTCGCTCCAAAACCTCACACACAAGATACAAGGATGAGAACCACAACGTACACACACGGTCATACAATCTGACCCAAAATACAAATAGAAAACACTGCCACCATGACACTTTACCATGAGGCTTAGGGTCAGAGAGCGAGACCAGAGAGCGAGACCAGAGAGCGAGACCAGAGAGCGAGACCAGAGAGCGAGACCAGAGAGCGAGACCAGAGAGCGAGACCAGAGAGCGAGACCAGAGAGCGAGACCAGAGAGCGACACCAGAGAGCGACACCAGAGAGCGACACCAGAGAGCGACACCAGAGAGCGACACCAGAGAGCGACACAATATATACAAATACCATCTTCTGCTGGGTGGAGTCGGTGGAGTTCTTGTGGGAGTAGTCCAGCCCGATCTCTCCAAAGGCCACAGCTTTGGGGTGCCTCATGGCGGCCATGATGTCGCTCTCCTGTTTATTTGTGTAGTCTTTGGAGAAGTGGGGGTGGCAGCCGAACGCGCCCCACACCTTGTCCTCGTTCAGAAGCTCCTCCCAGATTCTCTCTCGCACCATGACGCGCGGGTTACAGAAGTCCGCAATGCAGCCTTCGAACTCCGCCCCGAAGCTGCGCCAGTACTTCCTCCTGAAGCTGGTAAAGCTCCCAGCAAAACACAGCTTGGCGTAGAGCATATCCAGGTGGCAGTGCGTGTCCACAAACCCAGTGCCGTGATGCATTCTGGGAGGCGAAGTCCACTCCTGCTCCACGCCCACAGACCACCTCCTGCTGGCGGCGCTGGGGTGAGTGAGGGCGTAGAGTGGGTGATGAGCCGAACCGCTAACGTCAGAGTGTCTTCTATAACTGCAGCCGCGATACGTGGAGTGGACAGGCAGCGCAAAGGGGTCGGCAAACGTGATGGTCTGAGCTTTGCTATCTGCAGTTCTTGTGGAGGCCTCTGACACACGTACGGCTTGTGTCTTGCCCGAAAGAATTATTGTTCTTTGCGGTGTGTCCCGGTTCTCGGACACATTTGGGCTTTGACTTGTCATTGAGAGGGGAGATTCAGTTTCGTGTTGGGTGGAAATTGAGTCTTCTCTCTCGGGGGTGGGAGAGAAACAGCAGTCGTGATAATACGTTGTATCAGGAGATGAGTCTAATGCTCTCTGGTTCTCAGGTGTTGTAAGCGTGCTCGGTGAATCATCTTTCAGCACAAAGCTCTGAAAACAGCAGTAAACACATTAGTGCATCAGGACGGACTGAATGACGGCTGAATGCTCGCAAAACACCCATCTCCATGAGGCCTCACGTGTAAAAAACAGATTCCCAATATAGATTTGTTGCGTCAGCTATCAGCTTTCTTCTCTCCCAAATCTCTCACATAAAGATTTTCTCTTTTACAATGCATGCAACCGGAAGGCATGTGGGCTAGCAGCAAGCAAGCTAGCAGAAAGCAGACGCTTTAAACACCTTTGCAAGCACTGGAGCTTTTTCCTTGTACCTTTGTATGAGTCGAATATACTATTATTGTTGACTGTTAAAAGAATTGCTAAAATATATTTATAAAAAAGATTTTATAAATTCCCAGGGATGACCATGCAGTGCTTGTATCGGTATTTGGTTTTGGCAAGTACTCAAATTAAGGTTCTCGTAATGGTTTTTAAAAAAGTGGTATTGGTGCATCCCTAAAGATTTTCACAGCAGAACTGACATTATTCAGACTGAGAAACATAGCTTCTTTCAAGATCGACTTTCTCAAAAGCCAAGGTTCATCTGACATGATCAGGACACGTGGCCCTCGGACCATCTCCAATCCACAAACTTTATTCTTTCTCCCCATGTTAAATGGCTATCCAGTTAATGTTTGCAACTTCATTACTGCTACAATGGCATTTTATACCTCACAATAATTCATCAAAAACATCTGTCCACAATACTTTTGTTGAGCAGAGGCAAAAGATGACCCAACTCACTTTACCCAAACACAAAGATAACATTGTGTTCTTTAGATTTCCATTTCATCAGTTTATCAAATACTCACATTTTGTTACATTTTTAACAGAAGTAGCTTACACTCTAATATATTGTTCCATATTAAATCAAATGGTAAGGACAAGAAGAAGATTCCCTCCACAATGTACCGTTATCCCAATGTGGCCTTCAGGGGAAAATAATTGCCCATCCCTGATTCAACTTATTATTAGATTCAGTTTAATTTAATTCACTTCAGTGTTTCCCACACATAGGCTAATTGGTGGTGGTGCGCCACAGATTCGAAATCGACTGCCACAGATTGCGTTTTGTTATTAACCCTCTAGGCGCCACGGTCAACTTAAGTCAACAAGCTGCGGTACTGTTTAAAACAATGTGTCAAACAGAGTGTCAAAAGTCATTCAAACTCCCTGCCACTAGTAGGCAGACATGTCAGACTACCTCCCTGGTCCCAAAAAACGTCATGCTCCCATACAAAATATTCGAGCAAGACCGCGTTGAACCAGTGCGGAAACCATAGCGAAGCGAGTGCAGCTGCGACGCAGCGCGCGAGTGTTGTACCGCACCAAGCACTAACTTTAAACACTGCACTTTATTCTTGTTTAGCCCTTAATCAAACAGGCGCTATCTCAGAGGACTTAAAGCTGCACTAACTGACTTTGGGATTTTGAAGCAGCAGACTCGCTGGCCTCGCTCTTTCTGCTACCCTCCCCGCACCTAACGGACCTGTAGATTCCTCACGAAAGTGGGAGATAGTGGTGCGCTGTGATTGGTCACAATCTGCAACCCGAAACACATTCTCTTCCTTGTTTCATCAAAACTCGATCTAAAATATATGTCACGCCAGCACAAATCTGCGCTACTTTTTCTTCAAAAGGACGTATATTCCAATGCACTACATGGACATGGATAGCATTTTTGTAATGAATACGAAAATAAAGTCTGTTAGTGCAGCTTTAACAAAACTGTTGAATTCGCAAACAGAGATTAGAGAATCAAACAGTTCAAACACAATAAATGCAAAGATAAAAACACATGGACCAATGTCCATAAATGTTGATAAATGTTCGCAAATGTTCTTACCCTGTTCTCAGACATGAAGGCTGCTCTCTCTTCCTCAGAGTCCAGGCTCACTGTGGGGGACCAGGAGGAGCGGCGCGTAACTGTGGGGGACCAGGTCGTGACTCCTATTCCATTCACATCGACAACTTTGACTGGACTGGCCTTTGGAGAAGGACTCTTCTCTGACTCCTTTTTTGGGCCTTTGCAGCCGATAGCAGCGAGCAGAGCGTGTTTGTAGATGGCTTTGGATCCCTCCTCAGGCGTCCGCACCTTTCTTTTATTCAAAATTGTGTCAGAAGGAGATGAGGATCCAGAGTTCGGGGACATTTGAGGAGATTTGTCAACGGGACTTTCCTACAATCAAAAATAAGGAAAAGGTTTATGTTCAATTATTTGAATGAAAACAAGTGGATGCTATGCTACCACATAGCAATGCAAAAAGTACACATTATATATTGTTATAAATACTTACTCGACGGTTGTCCGCTTGCCCGGACAACCGTCGTTTGGGACGGACAAGTGCGCTGTCTTAGCAAGTTGCCCTATCGGGAAAGTATGTATTACTTTAACCCTTTTAGGCCGGGAACGCGGACACGTCAGTTTATCTACTTTTGACAAATTCTATTCATTGGAAAATTCTCTAGATCAATGAAATGCATCAGGATAAACCAGGAATAAACCAAATGTTTTCTGTCATTTTTCTGCTGAAAATGTCATTTCTGTGAAATGTGTGACCGTGGGAACTTTCTGTTGTTTGCTGTACGTACTCAAACGCGATTTACATCCTCCGTTTTGACCCCGGGAGCAGCTGCGGCTCGTAACGACAGCCGCTTTGACAACAGCTTTGCAAACACACATCCGTACGTGGTACCGAGCGCGTACCATAGACACGCGGACAGAACCATAGACACGCGTTCAAGACCATCCCCAGTTTGTTGCAAGTGCGGGTCTCCACCTTGTCTCCCCCATGTCTCCTCCCAAAGCGCAACCAAAAATTTTGGTTTTGCACCAAAGTAAAATGTTGGGAACATATCAAATAGAACACACCACAACAGGCGTCTTGTTTTTTGATATGCAAACTTAAGAGCCCTGGGAGCCATTATTTGCCTTTTTTCCCCCCCCCACCCCACACAGTTAGGGCCACTTTATTGCCAAACTCTTGTTAACTCACTGTATTGAGAAATATTTGGGCAAGTTGCTTTTGATATTGGTCAAGTAAAATATAAATGGTACTTGCCCAATGGGCAAGTGGTTGACAAAGCTTAATGTCAAGGCCTGGTCCTGTACTGCTTTTACATCTGTATGACTTTGTTATTTTTTTATTGTACCAAAATGTTTTCATCTAGTTCTTATGATAATTATCAACATCTTGCTGTATCTGCTCAGAAAATAAGTTAATAGCATCCTACATCCTACAGTCCAGTCATTACCTCAGGAGTCGCCAGGGCCTGAAACCGCAGCTTGGACAGTTTCCTGAGTTTGACTTTGGAGGACGACGCCATGCTGTTCCGGTCTGCCTTCCTCTTGGGTGTGGAGAGGGTCAGATCGCTGAACTCAGCTGATTCCTGGGACTTGGCAGTGGGCGACGTGAAGGACGAGTCACTGGACGATGAGGGAGTATGAGGCACATCTCTGTTGAGGGTTCGCATCCACTTGAACCTCACCTTCTCCCGGTTTCTACTGTCCATGATGCCTAAAGGAAAGGAGAAAATAAGAAGAAATTACGTCATAGTATAAAGCTGTTTTAATACTTTTACAACAAAATAAGAGGGTGTCACCCAGTCTTATGTATCCAGCCCTAAACTCTTTATGGGAAGGTGTGAGGAGGTTATGGTTTGCTTCTCTGTCAAAGCAGCAGGGACGTTGAACTTCTCACCTCTGTTTGTGAGTGTAGCTCACTGGGGCAGTTCAAACTCAACCTAAAGGCATGGCTCAAAGATAATCAAGTGTGCAGTCCTTAATCAGATGTAAATACTTGTGTGTTGAATTTATTGTATAAAGTTTATCTTGGTGGGTAAAGTGCTAAATTATACCTGTATTTTAAATGCTAACTAGGCCATTCTATTAATTCTTAACCTGCTGTCACCTTGCCTCTGCCCCGGGTACTACGGACTAAAATGAGCTGTCATATCTAGTTTGTACTATACATTTATTGTGCAATGTCCCCGTGAAATGTAAACAAAAATAAACACAAAGCTGTAATGACTTGAGTCAGGCAGGATATCGCATGCTAATACTTTATTCAAAAACTCTAATAAATGAACTATGTCAATTCACTTTTGCCAAAATTTCTGCCAAACCAATACAATGTAAGCTATGGGTTAGAATGCCTACCTATATTCTTACTGTATATATCATTAGATATAATGTCATTATTTTTAAGGAAGTCCAAACACATCCAAATAGAGATCTATATAGACCTGGACAAGGCAGTTACTATCTTCTGTGATTTTATTCACATTTTAATTACACAATCTCACTGTGTGGAGGTTTGTAAAGTATATTGGAAGAAACAACAATTCCTGTATAGATCAAAAAAAAAAATCATAAATGTCATTCCATTCTTAAAAACGTAATGTAATGTAATGTAATGTAATGTAATGTAATAGATTCGGGACAAACTCACTCATACCAACAGAATCCTACATGTGTGCCTTGTGTATAAACTGTGGTTTATACAAATAAACTTTATGTATACCACATCGTTTATTTGTATACCACAGCTATCAGCTTCCTTCTCTTACCATCTCTGTGGTAAATCACACAAACCATTTCCCCAAAAACAAGAATAATTTTCACTGTAGAATTGAAATTTTTCAGCTGGAGTAACGTGCAACTAGCTTCATTCAAGGGCGACTTTCTCAAAAGCCAAGGTGCACCTAATAAGCCAATCGGAGCTACTTTAACACAAAGTTCACTTTCAACCAAAGAAGGAAGATGGTTTATGTCTGAGGCTGTCCCTGCGTGCTCATACTGCGTGAATGTGCGAAACTTTACTTAAAAAATGTGAAATTACCTTTTCAGCAGTGGAGTGGAGACGTCAATGAGGTTAGCTTTAGCCGACTAGCATGGGCCGCGGTCTGGTGCAGCAGAGTGTATGTTTTAATCCGGATGTTTTAAATCAGGATAATAACATTGATACTTATTGTTAATAAATCTTGCGTATCGTATTTTTACGTAGTCCCTCGTGGGGTATGTAAAAGTATGGTAAAAGTTAGGAATAACTGCAATTTAGGAAGTCTCGCGAGATTTTTGTTCGATAAATGAAGCGCGAATTTGAAAATGGCCGTGAAGTCAGAATGAAAGCCGTTAATATAATACATCCATGATGAAAGTTCACAAGTTGGTACAGTGTATGGTTACAGTATAGGGTTAGAGTACTCGTAGTAAAGTTAAAATTGATGTATTTCAGAGTTGGCTCAAATTGTTGCATTTTTTTTGTTTTTCTAGACTGGTGAAGTTTATAATGTTACTTTCTGATTAGTCAGGAGCTGCCAATGCAGAATAGCTCGTCAAATGTTAGATAATATACACTCTAATGATCTCACAATAGTTCTGAAAAAATAAGCATAAATAATACACAACATATTTATCTTCACACACTTTTTACTTCCATTGTATCTTCCATTTAAGCACTTCTAGAATTATGAAACTACCAGAAATTGAAGAGTCGTCATCTTGACAGCTTCCATTCAAACCAATGGTGTTCTAAGAAATCCCCCCAAAAATGTTTAGTTTTCGAAAAATAAGTCATTTATAATGTCTTTATAGTGTTTATCTTTACGTACTGTTTAATAAGTGCTTTAACTGAATATAACTGGAAATACAGCAAACAGTTTGTTGAAAGACTAATACAACTGCCTCAGGTAAACAGTCTGTTCAAAAATAATACTTAGTAATGACAAAGAAATAAGCTACATATACAGAAAAAGTAAGGAAGACCAGAAATATACATGAGCCGTCAAATTGAGTTCTAGAGTAAATATTCCCACAAACTGTGACTTAATGACTTTGACTGAATTGACTTTAAACTATTATAAATATTTAGCTGTGGTTCTAATCTTAAATAAAAAAGTAAAAATGTAAGCCTTCACACCATGGATCTATTATAATATCACACTAGTTTGAAAGAGCTAATAAGTGAGTATGTTTTGCATTACGAAGTTACATAGTGCAGCTTTATACTTTACTATACCCTATTCTTATACATGCAGGCGCAGACACACAGACAATTGAGCACTGTTAACAGTACAAAAGTAACTAAACATTTTCTTTAAACGAACACAGCATCAGACTCTAGTTATTATATGTTTTGTAGGCACCAAAGCTGTAGCCTTTACCTAAAAAAAACAGAAACAGCCGAGGTCAGTTCAGATGATTAAAGATACATTGCATTTCATCTTGATATTAGATTCCACATAGATTACACACAAACACCTAGTCATATATCGAGTGGAATCATTATATAAAGTTTAACGTTAGGAAGAACAAGTTAGCAAGAGATGTCAAATACCAGCAAACTTTGCACTAGAGTCTGACTCTTATTCTGCAGGTGATAAATGGCTTTACAGTGTGAGCTTGGGTCAGGACTCACGTTTCGGAGCCTTCTTCTCAATCAGCCAGTAGCAGAAGCCCAGCCTGGCTCTGTCGTTGTAGGCGTTCCTGTACTGCGACATGCTGTAGATTGGGGAAGATGTGTTTGGTCTGGTTTGGGTGGCGTCTAAAAACAAGATAATAGAAAATCAATAGCTGATCTTGCCAATATGTGGTTATAAACGTAATGTTTTTGCTTGAGATGTAAAGTCCAACTTTTTTTTAATGTATGTATGGAGTATGTACTATCTTCAGCGTAATAGAAAATGTCTATTATCTTTAGCATACTTGTGAGAATGACCCTTGTTAGTCACTATTTGACTGTTTGGACTGAGAGCTGATTATAGACCGTATATAAAAGAACTGATTGGCTGAGTGAGGGTTGATGTGACAAATACATGCATGTGTTTTTTATTTTTGAAATGTGAGTAGTTAGGGTTTGGGTTCTGCCTTTGACTCAAACTCAAATGTAGCCATTTTTGGTTGCTTGGTAACTAACTTTCAAGGTGCTGGGTCTAGACTGATTTGGTTTTCCACTAGAGAGGAGGGATATTATTATAGACAGTACTAGTTACCATAGCAATACACTGTTTACTTTCAGCAGTTAGTATTTAGCCTTTAGCATCAGCCTTTCAACAAACCATTTTTACTGTTATATTCACCAGAAATAGCAATGTGAATAAAGTTTTTAAAAAAATACTTTTAATAAATCAGGTGCAAAACCCAATATTATTGGAGGAATTTCCCAGAATTCAATTTGTTTGTATGGAAGGAGTCAAAATGACTCATCTGGGAGTACTAGTGTTCAGTATTTCTGAATCAAAATGGCAGACTGCTGTTGAGTACATTGCACTTACAATGTGACAAAATTATTTCTGGTTCATAATCCCGATCCGTGGTGAGAGAGGGCAGCGTGCTCTTGTCTCCTTCAGCTGTAAAATAATTATACACATTATAAACAGCACACTTCTTTCTGGCTGGCGCCTTCTGTGGAATGTCTGTACAAACCAGTCCTCTTCAGGAAATCACTGGGCATCGATGTCATATAATCTGGAACCTGAGTGGATTCACAAAACAATAACTCGAAATAAGTGAGACAGGTTTGGACTAAAGTTCCTCTAGTTTAAAACACAAATACAATTAGTAGATTTGATATTAAGCTAAACATAAACAAGTATGTTTAGTGGTGACAGTGGCTCAGTTGGTAGAGCATTGGCCTGTAGACCTGACAGTCGTGGGTTCAAGCCCATGTTGTGTCCATGGGCAAGACATTTGTCCCCAATGAAAGCACAAACTGTGGACTCACCACCTGCAGGAGGATCAGGGAGGGGCTGGTGCTAAGTGAACTGGGTGCAGCTCTGACTGCCATCCCCAGACCCAGAAAGGGATTAAGGGGAAGAAAATGGATGGATGGATAAACAAGTATGCAATAAGAACTTTGTAAAGTCCTCAGAGGTAACTATTGTCCTGAATATTCAAGGATAACGTTTTTGCACTTCATAAGTGCAGACCATACTAATATGTCAAGAATCACAATAACATTGGATTGTGGCACAAATATCACCATACTATCAAATCCTCCATTTTTTTCTTGTTCTCACTCAAGCTTCTAGTGAATAATTTCTCACCATTGTCTTCATCTTGGTCCAGTGATCCGTCCTCAGATGTGGGAACAGGACCGGGTGATTGCGAGGCCAACATGTCATACTGGTGAAGGATGTGGAGCTACAGTGAGTATTAATCAGTCGTGTGACCAGAGAACAATTCTCCAGGTACTCTTCAAATACTGATCCTCTGTGCGAGACATAGCGGACACTCACTGCGTCTGCCTGAAGCGGCTCGAGTCCCAGGGGTTTCTCTGCGTTTTGTTCGACGACATTTTCTTCAGTGTTGCAGTGAGAAGGATAGGGCTTTAGTTACATCTGTCTCTTAGCAACAAGCTTCAACAATCCTTCTCCCATTTTCTCTTCCACCAGAAAATACATTCTCTGCCACCATTTAAAGCGAGGAAACACCTGCAGTTATTACTATACATTTAACAATAATAATAAAAATAAAATTATTAGCCAGGCCCTGCCCTGCTGGATAAGCAGGGCAGGGCCTGGCTATAACTGTGACGGGACCTCTGGGAACACTAGGTGCGACAGTGGGGCGGAAATTTTTGAAAAATACCACTGCACAAAACACATACATTATTATGAATATGTTTATTGACAAAAAATAAAACAATCTCTTTAATATATGCACATTTTAGAAATATAGTATAATTATTATATTTATATAGAGTGCACCTGCCCAATGCTCTGGCAGGCGGTGAGTCGACAGGAAGATGGCTGCTACTTCGTCAGGGGTGACACAGCCTTGGTTTTTTAGCCCTATCTAATTAGAGGGATATAACCACCCACGGAGGGCGAAAGGTGAGATTTTTTTTAAATAAATACATAACTAGAAAGAGATTTAGAAAGTAAAGTAGAAAATGGAGCTTTTGTGATGCCCCTTGTCATTAAATATCAGTCATTGGTCCCCGTTTGGTCCCAATCCAGTCCACTTTGAGAGCCCTCATTCTGTCCTCATGTCCCATCTCTGTTCTGCATTGCGTGGCCTTGGTCCTGGATACAGCCTCAGCCCTCAGTATCCCTGCCTGAATGTGGGCCTCCCTGAGTTTTCTCACTTTTAACACACTGGTTTTTAGAGTTGTTGAGACAGCGGTGATGATCCAGGACACTTGACGTTCAACAACATTTCTGGACAGCAGTCTCTGCCCTTATGGACCATTGGCCTGAAGGCCAGCTTACATTGCATTTTTTGTGTTTGAACAGTTTGATTCTGGGGCGACAGTAGCTCAGTTGGTAGAGCAATGGCCCTCGAGCCAGAAGGTCGTGGGTTCGAGCCCACCTCGAGACTTTCACCATCGACCGTCTGCTCTTGTTGTGTCAAGACACTGGGAACACCTGATGCCACAGTGGGGTGTGAGTGTGTGTGTCAGTCAGAGGAGCTGATGGCACATACAGGTTGCCTCGCTTCTGTCAGTGTGCCCCAGGGCAGCTGTGGCTACAGTAGTAGTTTATCACCACTGTGTATGGAGTGAACGAATATTAACATTTTGAGTGTCCAAAAAAAGCGCTATGTAAAACCGATGCATTATCTGTGTTGGTGAATCGACAATTTTGTAAAAGTCCTCCGAGATAACTACTGTTATAATTTCATGCTTTACAAGAATAAATGTAATTGAATGTCCTCTGTCCTCATATCCCGCCTCTGTCCTGTAGGGCGTCTCTCCTCATGTCCCTCGGTCCTGTAGGGTATCCAGAAGGTGCTGCTGGACTCGCTGGTTTATACGTCTCAGGTCTGTCCCAGCGTCGGGTTTGTCCTCCAGCTCGTCCTGAAGACAGCGGGCTATCTCCAACCTCCTGAAGTTCTCTGGTCGCACCAAGAGCCGCACCACCTGAAGAGAGCGCTCCTTCAGCGAGTAGACTGCAACAACAACATGAGTTAGCATGTGTTCTGGACTAAAAGCCAGAACTATGGACTATAAGGCGCACCAGCTACGTTTTAAAAGAGATGCCATTTTGTCCACATACAAGGCAAGGCAAGTTTATTTATATAGCACAATTCATACACAAGGCAATTCAAAGTGCTGAATTGCCTTGTGTACAGGCTGCACTTGAATATAACCCTCAGGTTTTCAAGTTACAATGCAGCAAAGAGACGACCGTTAGAAAAGGACACATCATGACTTATAAACGGATACCTATAAAGCATACCAATGAATGTCACCACCATTCAGGTTTAATAAATCTATTTAAACCATTTGTGTCAAGGAAAAGTATCTCTCCTTGGGAAAAAGGAAAAAAATCTTGCTACAGAGAGTAAAAATAATATAGTCCGTATATTGCAGTATTTCATTTCTAATACCTTATAAGAACGTTTTATAATAACTTCCAGGGAGAAATGTGCAATACCTGGCAACCTGATGTTAGCCATGGTCGGGTTCCCACTCGCTGATGGAGTGGGGAGAAACAGGTCTTTGCTGTTGACTTTCATGGGATCATCAGTCTCCGCATCTCTGAAAACCCACGGGTGACCTGAACCCAAACACATAAGAAATACAGACCGAGATAAACGAGACCAAATACATGGTGTAGTGGCTATTTGTCCTTACCTTAAACCAAAACAAATGGTTTAGGTTAAAGACTTTATTTACGCAAAGAAGAGAAAACAACATTTCCAAACGATTGCACTTTAGCAGAAGCGAATATGACCAGAATAAACAATAGTAATAATAGCAGTAATCGTAGCCTCATTACCCACGAAGGTGCTAATCTTCCTGCCTGTGCCCGGCTGCAGGTCGTTGTAAGGCTGTGGTTCTCCATGGAAGTCTATCCACAGAGGTCTTACAACCCGAGAAGTGAAGTTACAGAACACAGCGGTGACCGGGATCCTGCTGTTCAGAGAGCGGACCAGGGGGAGCTCTCCTTCCTGCGGCATCTGGCTCCAAGCTCACGGTACTTAGCACAAACTAGCCTGATGCTATGCTATCTACGTAAGCGCAGTGAAAACGTGACGCTTGAAGTATAATGGTTATCTAACTACGCGGATAAAGACCACGTTGTTAGAATCAAAAGGAAATACGGCCATAAAAAAGTTCCAAACATGTCGTGAACTGTAGATACAAGCTACAAGACGACTCCGCTGTTGTTTACGTTGTCGTTACTTCCGGTATCACGTCATTTGATGCAATGTGATTGGTCAAACTATCACGACTTCTGAAAAAACTTTACAACTCGTATAAGAAAATATGGATTTTAACTTTGTTTTAAACCTTAAGCACGTAATTCTTCGGCTTTAGATGATAAGAATATAACTTCTAAGAAAAAATAATGGCATTTAACTATTTTTGTAATTGTTTATTTGAATTTGAATTATAGATATTTTATCAAACAGATGAAGAGACCCCCCTTTGCTGATATTGTATCACCAATTTTCTACAGTAAAAATGTGGTATAAATAAATTAATGCAAAACAGTAGTAACAATGATTTATGTCAGAAATAGAAAAGTGATTCCATCCACAACACAGAGCTTTGGGGTTTCATGAATAAAACACAAGGACTGGCCTCCTGCTGGGACTCTGAAGAGCACAGGGACTGTCTTCCCGCTGGTCCCAGAGTAAGGACTGACCATGAGGAGGAAGTGTTTCAGATTTAGGCAGATAAAATCAGGAAGAGTCTTCCTGAAAATGTGAGACAGGCTCCTACTCTGACAATGTTGAAAACATATCTGTTTCGATGCATCTGTTTTCAATCTGTCATTTCAATAAAGTTTTAAGCCCAATACTTTGATGCAGCACTTTTTTAAGATTGGTTTAGTGCAGTACAGATTTCAAACTAAAACAGCATATTTCCACTTGCGGAACATCACTAAAATTAGGAATATCCTTCCTAAAAGTGACGTGGAAAAACTGACAGCGTGCCCTAAAACCTCTTTGAAGAGCTTCCAGCTTATTCAGAATACAGCAGCAAGGATCTATACAGGCATCAAAAGGAGGGAGCACATAACTCCGGAGTTAAAATCACTCCACTGGCTTCCTGTGGAGTACAGAATATTCAATTCAATTCATTCTTTATTAAGAACACAGATAGAACTGGTTTATAGATTAAAAAAACAAAACAAAAAATAATAATAATAATAATAACTAGAAACTTGCAATGGCTGAAGCCATTGCGATTGACTGCGGAACAGATCTAATGTGGAAATCTGCTAAAAAAAATCCTTGAAATCCTTTAAAAGGCCTTGAAACTGTTAAAATACTTGATAGATATTTGAAACTCCTGAAGTCCTTGAAATTGTTGAAACCTTTAAACTCCTGAAATCCTTGAAACTGTTGAAACATTGAAACTCCTGAAATCCTTGAAACCCCTATTAAGTTCCATTATACTGGTTTATATGTAAAAAAAAAACCCTATTAAGTTGCATTATACTGGTTTACATGGAAAAATCCCCATTAAGTTGCATTATACTGGTTTACATGAAAAAAACCCTATTAAGTTGCATTATACTGGTTTACATGAAAAAAACCCTATTAAGTTGCATTATACTGGTTTACATGGAAAAATCCCTATTAAGTTGCATAATACTGGTTTACATGGAAAAATCCCCATTAAGTTGCATTATACTGGTTTACATGAAAAAAACCCTATTAAGTTGCATTATACTGGTTTACATGGAAAAATCCCTATTAAGTTCCATTATACTGGTTTACATGTAAAAAAAACCCCTATTAAGTTGCATTATACTGGTTTACATGGAAAAATCCCCATTAAGTTGCATTATACTGGTTTACATGAAAAAAAAACCCTATTAAGTTGCATTATACTGGTTTACATGGAAAAATCCCTATTAAGTTGCATAATACTGGTTTACATGTAAAAAACCCTATTAAGTTGCATTATACTGGTTTACATGTAAAAACCCCTATTAAGTTGCATTATACTGGTTTACATGGAAAAATCCCTATTAAGTTGCATTATACTGGTTTACATGGAAAAATCCCTATTAAGTTGCATTATACTGGTTTACATGTAAAAACCCTATTAAGTTGCATTATACTGGTTTACATGGAAAAATCCCCATTAAGTTGCATTATACTGGTTTACATGGAAAAATCCCTATTAAGTTGCATTATACTGGTTTACATGGAAAAATCCCTATTAAGTTGCATTATACTGGTTTACATGGAAAAATCCCTATTAAGTTGCATTATACTGGTTTACATGTAAAAACCCCTATTAAGTTGCATTATACTGGTTTACATGGAAAAATCCCCATTAAGTTGCATTATACTGGTTTACATGAAAAAAAACCCTATTAAGTTGCATTATACTGGTTTACATGAAAAAACCCTATTAAGTTGCATTATACTGGTTTACATGGAAAAATCCCTATTAAGTTGCATTATACTGGTTTACATGGAAAAATCCCTATTAGGTTGCATGATTACACTGAAGTCCTTGAAACTGCTGAAGTCCTTGAAACTGCTGAAGTCCTTGAAACTGCTGAAGTCCTTGAAACTGTTGAAGTCCTTGAAACTCTTGAAATCTTGAAACTGCTGAAATCCTTGAAACTGTTGAATCCTTGAAACTGTTGAATCATTGAAACTGTAGAAATGTCTGAAAGAGCTGAAGTCCTATTAAAATGCATGGGCCTATTAAAATGCATTGCAGAATTCTCAATGCAGATTTTTGTCCGATTGCGGAAAAACCGGAAATCGCTGAAGTCCCAAAAGTAATAGCAATAATCTCCCAAACATGTGGAACGTTTTGATGTATAACTTGTGGAAATTGTTGAAAATGTGAAAGCTGTGAAACGTGTCAAAAAAAACTAGAAACCGTTGCAATGGCTGAAGCCATTGCGATTGACTGCGGAACAGATCTAATGTGGAATTTAGCTGAAAAATCCTTGAAATCCTTGAAACTGTTAAAATACTTTAAACATCTTTGAAACTCCTGAAGTATTTGAAGCTCCTGATATCCTTTAAACTGTTATCCTTTATACTGGTTTTCATGTAAAAACCCCTATTAAGTTCCATTATACTGGTTTACATGTAAAAACCCCTATTAAGTTGCATTATACTGGTTTACATGTAAAAAACCCTATTAAGTTGCATTATACTGGTTTACATGGAAAAATCCCTATTAAGTTGCATTATACTGGTTTACATGTAAAAAACCCTATTAAGTTGCATTATACTGGTTTACATGGAAAAAACCCTATTAAGTTGCATTATACTGGTTTACATGTAAAAACCCCTATTAAGTTGCATTATACTGGTTTACATGGAAAAATCCCTATTAAGTTGCATTATACTGGTTTACATGAAAAAACCCTATTAAGTTGCATTATACTGGTTTACATGTAAAAAACCCCTATTAAGTTGCATTATACTGGTTTACATGGAAAAATCCCTATTAAGTTGCATTATACTGGTTTACATGGAAAAATCCCTATTAAGTTGCATTATACTGGTTTACATGGAAAAATCCCTATTAAGTTGCATTATACTGGTTTACATGGAAAAATCCCCATTAAGTTGCATTATACTGGTTTACATGGAAAAATCCCTATTAAGTTGCATTATACTGGTTTACATGGAAAAATCCCTATTAAGTTGCATTATACTGGTTTACATGGAAAAAACCCTATTAAGTTGCATTATACTGGTTTACATGTAAAAACCCCTATTAAGTTGCATTATACTGGTTTACATGGAAAAACCCTATTAAGTTGCATTATACTGGTTTACATGAAAAAAACCCTATTAAGTTGCATTATACTGGTTTACATGAAAAAACCCTATTAAGTTGCATTATACTGGTTTACATGGAAAAATCCCTATTAAGTTGCATTATACTGGTTTACATGGAAAAATCCCTATTAGGTTGCATGATTACACTGAAGTCCTTGAAACTGCTGAAGTCCTTGAAACTGCTGAAGTCCTTGAAAACTGCTGAAGTCCTTGAAACTGTTGAAGTCCTTGAAACTCTTGAAATCTTGAAACTGCTGAAATCCTTGAAACTGTTGAATCCTTGAAACTGTTGAATCATTGAAACTGTAGAAATGTCTGAAAGAGCTGAAGTCCTATTAAAATGCATGGGCCTATTAAAATGCATTGCAGAATTCTCAATGCAGATTTTTGTCCGATTGCGGAAAAACCGGAAATCGCTGAAGTCCCAAAAGTAATAGCAATAATCTCCCAAACATGTGGAACGTTTTGATGTATAACTTGTGGAAATTGTTGAAAATGTGAAAGCTGTGAAACGTGTCAAAAAAAACTAGAAACTTGCAATGGCTGAAGCCATTGCGATTGACTGCGGAACAGATCTAATGTGGAATTTAGCTGAAAAATCCTTGAAATCCTTGAAACTGTTAAAATACTTTAAACATCTTTGAAACTCCTGAAGTATTTGAAGCTCTTGATATCCTTTAAACTGTTATCCTTTATACTGGTTTACATGTAAAAACCCCTATTAAGTTGCATTATACTGGTTTACATGGAAAAATCCCCATTAAGTTGCATTATACTGGTTTACATGTAAAAAACCCTATTAAGTTGCATTATACTGGTTTACATGGAAAAATCCCTATTAAGTTGCATTATACTGGTTTACATGTAAAAATCCCTATTAAGTTGCATTATACTGGTTTACATGTAAAAACCCCTATTAAGTTCCATTATACTGGTTTACATGTAAAAACCCCTATTAAGTTCCATTATACTGGTTTACATGTAAAAAACCCTATTAAGTTCCATTATACTGGTTTACATGTAAAAAAAAAACCTATTAAGTTGCATTATACTGGTTTACATGTAAAAACCCATATTAAGTTGCATTATACTGGTTTACATGGAAAAATCCCCATTAAGTTGCATTATACTGGTTTACATGAAAAAAACCCTATTAAGTGGCATTATACTGGTTTACATGAAAA